CCCTTCCTCCTTCTTTTGCCTCTCTCATTCACTTCATCTTTCCCACAGCCCTGCCTGATTTCTGCCTGGCTCACTGACCCCACAGATCCTGCAAACCCATGCCCACTCTGGGCATCACCGTGGCACTCACCTGCTGGTACCCCCAGTCCTCCGGGGCAAATTCGCTCCCCACGGCTTCAAACTGGAAGTTGATGTGCGGCGCCTGGTGCAAGAGGAACGTCCACCACGAAGCTCGATACCCCTGGGGGGACCCCATCCCTCCGACGCGGGGCGCCCACAACCCCAACCCCGCTCACCGCGCTGGTCGCCGGCCCCCCATGCTGGCACACGGATGGATGTCGGGGAATGATGTGCAGGGAGGCAGTGCAGAACATCAGGGCTTATCCGCGCGGGATATTGGGGAGGGGGGAGTGATGGTTGGGGAAATAAAGGGGGGAGGGCTAGGTGGTGGGGGAAGAGGACAGTGGGAGGCGCAGCGCCATCTAGCGAGCGCTGCGCCCGTCACTGTGATTTAAATCAGCCCTTGTCTCGCCCGACCTGTCAGAGAGACTAATAGCTCCCCCAAGTGGATCTGTCCCTCTACACAATAAATAAAAGGCATCGCTGACCAGATTTAAAGCGGATGCAGAGTGGGAGAAAACGCACTAGGAAAGCAACTTCTAAAACTTCGCAATCGCTTCCAGCCTTCCCAATTTTCTACAAAATATACTTGCGGGGACCAATTGAAATATGTGGAGCGGGCTAGGAAGAAACCCTGCGTAAAAATCCTTATAATAATAATAATAATAATTTATTATTTATACCCCGCCCATCTGGCTGGGTTTCCCCAGCCACTCTGGGCGGCTTCCAAAAGAATATTAAAATACTGTGATACATCAAACATTAAAAGCTTCCCTAAACAGGGCTGCCTTCAGATGTCTTCTAAAAGTCTGGTAGTTGTTGTTCTCTTTGACATCTGGGGGGAGGGCGTTCCACAGGGAGGGCGCCACTACCGAGAAGGCCCTCTGCCTGGTTCCCTGTAACTTGGCTTCTCGCAGTGAGGGAACCGCCAGAAGGCCCTCGGTGCTGGACCTCAGTGTCCGGGTAGAATGATGGAGGTGGAGACGCTGCAGTGATTTCAACCCGTTTTTCTGAATGGTCAGGAATCCTCACAAACAGTCAATTGCTTCTATCATCATCATCATCATCATCATTTGGGGGCGGGGAGGCAACCAGAAAGTAGTTGCTGCTATAAGCATAACATTTCCCCAGTTGATACGTTGTAGTTTAGAAGATAGTTATTCCCCCCAGATTGCTGCAGTTGTTGCCTGGAATGTAGCAGCAGGAAAAGCCCCAAAGGTTGTAACATTTCCTCACGGGGAAATTGCTGCAACCCCTTGGTGGTTTTGGTTACCTTTTCCTGAAACTTTTCCAGCTCTACAGTATCCTTTTCGAGGTGTAGCACCTAGAAAGTGAACACTGTGCTCCAAAAGTGGTGTAGCACCATAGATTTGTATAAGGGCAGTGTGATAAGGGGTTTTATTTTCAATGTCTTTCCTAATGATCTGAAAAGGGGAATTCATGCTTTTCATAGCTGCCATACACTGGGCTGGTTGGGGCGCTGTGGGTAAAACCTCAGCGCCTAGGGCTTGCTGATCGCATGGTCGGCGGTTCGAATCCCCGTAGCGGGGTGAGCTCCCGTCTTTCGGTCCCAGCTCCTGCCCACCTAGCAGTTTGAAAGCACCCCTGGGTGCAAGTAGATAAATAGGTACCGCTTTATAGCGGGAAGGTAAACAGCATTTCCGTGTGCTGCGCTGGTGCTGGCTCGCCAGATGCAGCTTCGTCACGCTGGCCACGTGACCCGGAAGTGTCTCCGGACAGCGCTGGCCCCCGGCCTCTTAAGTGAGATGGGCGCACAACCCTAGAGTCGGACACGACTGGCCCGTACGGGCAGGGGTACCTTTACCTTTACCTTATACACTGGGCTGGCTCCTTCATTGAGCTATCCACCACAACCCCAAGATCTCATTCCTGGTTAGGTACCAGATCCTATTAGTGTATATGCAAAGTTAGGATTATTATTATTATTTGCCTCAATATGCATCACTTCATACTTGCTTACACTCAACTTCATTTGCCATTTTAATACCCATTCACTCAGCTTGGAGGGATCCTTTTGCTGTGCCTTACAACTACTTTTTGATTTCACCACCACAAATAATTGGGTGTCATCGGCAAACTTGGCTGCCTCATTCTTCATCTGCAACTCTAGACAATTTATGAATGAGTTAGAAAAGTTCCAGCCCAGACACAGATTGTTGGAGAACCCCACTTCTTGCATGTTTCTATTGTGGGAATTGTCCATTTATTCCTGATCTTGGCACTTGTCCTCCAGACTTGCTCCAGCCTCCAGATCACTGTGGTGGTGAAATTTATTTGCAACACCAGACACAGTCACTTTGTGAACTTCTATATTTATTTTGAACGAATGTTGCCCATGGTTGCACACTCTCCTGCTCTACAACTCAGTGACATCAATCTGGAATTTCACTTATTTTCAGTTTCTCAAACACATGTTCACATGGCCTTGGTAAACCATAGTTTGGCTTCCCATGCCATGTGAACCAGGCCATAATGAATACAGCCATACCTTGCAAGTTGAACAGAATCTGTTCTGGAAGTCCATTCGACTTCCAAAACATTCAAAAACCAAATTGCGGCTTCTGTTTGGCCCTGGAAGCCCCATTGGATGTCCGGGTTCCAAAAGAAGGTTCGCAAACCAGAACAATCATTTCTGGGTTTGCGGCGTTTGGGAGCCAAAGCGTATGAGTTCCAGGGCATTCGACAACCAAGGTACGACTGTATATCCAAATCTTAGTGGAACAGTAAATTTTATTTATTTTAATATTTTAAAACTGTAAACCACCTTGGGTGCCTTGGCAGAAAGGCAATATATAAATGCAATGAAAATAAATAGGAAATAAATCATTTGTTCATCCCACACATTTCATTCCATTTACTTTCCTACCCTTTAAAAAATAATAATAACAAAGCAATGTGGAATTTTTATGGTAGGGCAACAGAGAACTTGAATACACTTAAATCTCTGCAGCATCACAAATGTGGTTTTGAAAGCTGCTTGCTGCCTCTTCCCCACTCCTGTCCCCACACCTGTGGTTGCAACTTAAAAAGGGATGTGGCTTCTCAGAAAGTGCAGTGAGCTTACTGAGGTCAACCATATTGTCAGACTACAGAATATCTGCATGTCAAGGGGGGAAACTGTGTCACAGAGCACTGGATATTTGAGAAGCTGCGGCCTCGTTCGTGGTACAGTACAGCGAGGTGCAATGGAGAGTTGCTGGCTATGGAACCCTCAACCTGAGTTCCTCTTTCAACATCCTCCTTTTTGGCTGGTATGATCAACTGAAAGGTATTGGGACCAGACAGGAGGATCAGAAACCCAGGTGATATGTTTACTGAGCACAACTCAAAGTGTTGGTGCTGACCTTTAAAGCCCTAAACGGCCTCGGTCCAGTATACCTGAAGGAGCGTCTCCACCCCCATCGTTCTGCCCGGACACTGAGGTCCAGCTCCGAGGGCCTTCTGGTGGTTCCCTCACTGCGAGAAGCCAAGTTACAGGGAACCAGGCAGAGGGCCTTCTCGGTAGTGGCACCTGCCCTGTGGAATGCCCTCCCACCAGATGTCAGAGAGAAGAACAACTACCAGACTTTTAGAAGACATCTGAAGGCAGCCCTGTTTAGGGAAGCGTTTAATGTTTAACAGACCACTGTATTTTAATATTTTGTTGGAAGCCACCCAGAGTGGCTGGGGAAACCCAGCCAGATGGGCAGGGTATAAATAATAAATTGTTGTTGTTGTTACTGAGCCTTTACTGCTGAAGTACAAATCCCATCAGCCTCAGCAAGCATGGCCAATGGCAGGGGATGCACAACAATGGTTGGGGATGATGGGAGGTGTAGTTCAGCGACACTTGGAGGGTCCAAGGTCTCCCCACACCTGGAATATGTGGAGTAATGGAGAAGGAGTATGTATTTGCCTGATAGAGTTAGGCCTAAGCCTTCTAAGGAGAAGAGACTTTAAGGCTTTGGGAGTGAGCTTAAGCCCCACCATGACTTAAGGTCCAGCACTTCTCATTACAGTGGTACCTCAGGTTAAGAACTTAATTCATTCTGGAGGTCTGTTCTTAACATAAAACTGTTCTTAACCTTAAGAACCACTTTAGCTAATGGGGCCTCCCACTACTACCACACCACTGGAGCACGATTTCTGTTCTCATCCTGAAGCAAAGTTCTTAACCCGAGGTACTATTTCTGGGTTAGCAGAGTCTGTAACCTGAAGTGTATGTAACCTGAAGCGTATGTAACCCGAGGTACCACTGTATAGACATTAAACACTGTGTAGGAAGGGTGAAGACCATAAGCAAGTGAGGGTTTCATAGGAGGCAAAGGACACAGCCCTGGGTGTCTCTTGGCACAGCATTTGCACCCATAGAAGCAAATAAGTGCTAAGTCGTTTTAGTGGAGGCAGGTGGGGAGAGGAAGGAGGCACAGGCTCCAACACTTTTGTGCACCATTTCCTCAAAAGGTAGGTCAGAAAGGAGATGTGAGACATGTAGAGAGGAGTTCCTCTTGAGGCAAAACAGTCTGTATCAAGGGTGGGCCACAAATGGGGGTTTGGCTTTGGAGACACCTTTGCTTCCTTTTTATCTTTTGCATTAAGTGACTGCACAGCTACCGGGGGGGGGGAGTGGTTTTTTAGGTGGCGTAGAGGTGATGACCATGCTATCGGTCACAGAGAAATTGTACTGGTAAGAGAAGAAGGATGTTACAGAGGGCTGCTGGGCTTTAGAAGATGCAGACATTCCCTGCATCTTCAGTCAGTTGACGGAAGGCGCTGAGGCAAAACAGGGCAATCTACCAGCAGCAGAGCCCTCACCATGAAGTTTTCTTTCTCCATCATCTTTTTGGGTTGGTATTGTAGAGGGGAAATAGGAGGGTGGAAGGACCGGAGAACAGGATACTAGTTTCTGTTGCTCAGTTATCTTTCCACTAATGGAATCATCTGCTTTTCCAGGATGGTGGCTGACTGGGAAGACATTGAAAGGTGAGCTACGTCCAAGACAAAAGAACATTAATATGTCTCGTAATCAGAATGAATGTGAATGTGAATAGAAGCTAAATGGCATGCCTTTTCCTAACCAAATCTATTTTTGTCTTACACATGCATGAGAAGTTAAGATCTACCAACCTTCCTTGCTCTATACACTCTTCAGAGACCACACCACTATGTTAAAGGTCTCGGTGCTGTTTCTCTCCCACTTCCTGGTCAGTTGGCAAGCTTTGTGTTTTGCCACTATTGCTGTGCCACTCATATCAATTTTACTAGTCTATTTGGACTAGCAGCAAAATGCACCAAAATTGGCACAAGCCCTGTGTAGATTGTGGATATTGGACAACCCAGATCCCAAGGCCTCACCTGAAAGAACCTACAGATTAGTCTGGGTATAGGGATGGGGGAAAACTTGGTCAACTGTGTTAAATCTGTCTAATAATTCACATTTCTTCAAATCATGTGTGAACCAAAACACAGTCATTCTTTGAAATTCGTACTTCTCTGGATTTTGAAAGGCATTTCTCCAACCCAATAATGCTGATGAATTTTCTTGAAGAATTAATGAGGAGGCCATCTTGGCTGTGATTCCTGGAAGAATTGTTCCCTGCCTTGCAGGCCTTTCCCCCTGACTCTTGCTACAAAAACTGAAGGTGTTGAAAAGACTCTTGGAGTGTCGTTGGGTTTTTGTTGTTGTTGTGGGAGGTTGCTGCTGTTACTGATCTTTTGTAAATCTCTTGCTCTCTTTTTTTGCCCAGGACAATCTTATCCCAAGCCTTCCATCTCAGTGGTCCCCAGTAAAATTGTCCCCCTGGGAGGCAATGCTACCATCCGCTGCAAGGTGCACAGTGAAGACTATGCACAAGCAACATTTGTTCTGTTCAAAGAACTGGATTCATCTTTGCATGCTTCAGTGGTCAAGAAGTCAGAGTGGAATGAGGTTGCATTTTTCTTCGTCAATGTCAAACTATCAGATGGTGGGAACTACCGGTGCCGATATTGCTTCAACTCTTTCTCTGGCGACAGCTGCTCACGTTTAAGTGACAGTGTAAAGGTCAAGATAAGAGGTGAGAGCTGGCTGAGTCAAATTTAGAGATGTACATGAAGTTTTCTAAACGTGAGTCTGGAAATGAGCTTTGGAAGGAAAATAAAAATAGAGGAGAATTTATGAAACCTAAGTTCTTCTCTGGCTCAGACTAAAATCTAAGCCAGGGAAGAATTCCTGTCTTCCCTCTCATCCTCCCTATGAGCCTTTCTGAGCTCACAAATATCCTGTCATCCTTCCCTTTGTAGCCTTACCATGTGGCACCACCACCACTGCAGCAGCCCAGCTGTGGGGGCTGAAGGAGAGGGGAAGAGAGTGAGTCTGTGTCTCCTTCCTGGGTCCTTATGCAGCTGTGCACTGTGCCAAGACAAAAGATGCCATGGCCTATGGAAAATGCAGTATAGTTTCTAATCTATGCAAACCAAGGCTTTTTAGTGTACTGGCACCAGCAATTTGGAACACTATTCCTACTGATGTCAGACAGGCACCTACAATCTCGATAGATTTCAGTCTGCTGAAAACACATTTGTTTCACCAAACATTTTAGAGAACTAAGTTGACTCAGTGTTGGTCATTTGTTCTGGATTTTATGCTTTTATAACTTTAAGATTTGAAAGTTTTATGGTGTTTCTGAACTGGTTGGCGATTCGAATCCCCGCGACGGGGTGAGCTCCCGTTGCTTGGTCCCTGCTCCTGCCAACCTAGCAGTTCAAAAGCATGACAAAGTGCAAGTAGATAAATAGGTACTGCTCTGGAGGGAAGGTAAATGGCGTTTCTGTGCGCTGCTCTGGTTCGCCAGAAGCGGCTTAGTCATGCTGGCCACATGACCCAGAAACTGTACGCTGGCTCCCTTGGCCAATAAAGCAAGATGAGCGCTGCAACCCCAGAGTCGGTCACGACTGGACCTAATGGTCAGGGGTCCCTTTACCTTTACCTTAAGTTGACTCAGTGTTGGTCATTTGTTCTGGATTTTATGCTTTTATAACTTTAAGATTTGAAAGTTTTATGGTGTTTCTGAATGATTTTACTGTACACCACCTTGATTTTCTTTCAATGACAGTTTATACACATTCTTCTAAAAAGCATAAGAACTAAAGAAGAGTCCTGCTGGAAGAGGCCAATGGGCCATCTAGTTAGTTCAGCTACTTGTTCTCACAGTGGCCAAACAGATGCCTCAATGGGCAACCCACATGCAGAAATCCTCTCCTCTCCTGTGATTTGTAGCATCTGCCCCAGACCATGAAGGCAGAGCATAGCCATTGTGACTAGTAGTCTTATCTTCCATGAATCTGTCCACTCTTCTTTCGAAGCTGTCCTAGTGGGAGACCATCACTGCCTCCTGTGGGTTCCATGAGTTCCACGGTTTAACTATGCACTGTGTGAAGAAGTCCTTTCTTTTACCTGTGCTGAATCTCCCACCATTCAGCTTCATGGGAAGCCCACAAATTCTAGCATTCTCATATATATGTACACTGTGTGTGTGTGTGTGTGTGTGTGTGTGTGGTTCTCCCAAGGGGTACTGTCAGGAGTGGAAAGGTCCTGTGAGCCAGTGTGGTGTAGTGGTTAATAGCGGTAGACTCGTAACCTGGTGAACTGGGTTTGCTTCCCCGCTCCTCCACATGCAGCTGCTGGGTGACCTTGGGCCAGTCACACTTCTTTGAAGTCTCTCAGCCCCACTCACCTCACAGAGTGTTTGTTGTGGGGGAGGAAGGGAAAGGAGAATGTTAGCCGCTTTGAGACTCCTTAAAGGGAGTGAAAGGCAGGATATCAAATCCAAACTCTTCTTCTTCCTCTTTCACTCTACCTCCTTCTCCAGCGATACGTTAAACCAGGATGGGGAACCTGCGGCAGATTCCCCATCTTCCAAATCTCAGTTCTCTTTTCTTTCTCACCCAGCTCTGCATTTTCCCAAGCCTTCCATCTCAGTGAGCCCCAGTAATATCGTCAAGTTGGGAGGAAATGTCACAATCCACTGTAACAGTCAAGGCTACCAAGATGTAGAGTTCCAACTCTACAAAAAAGTGGGTCCATCTTTGTTTCATGTTGTAATGGAGAAAGACCGGCAAAAAGGGGTCATATTTGCTATTGCCAACGCCACACTATTCCACGGAGGAATCTACAGGTGTACATATTGTTTCAAGTCAACCTTCTGTGAACGGTGCTCAAATTTCAGCAACAGCATATATATCTACATAAGAGGTAAGGCTGTTTGTATGCTTTACCACCCCACCACCCCCAAAATAAATGGCACTAACATGGATTTTGTATTCCCTGCAGCTGTATATCAAAGGGAAAAGCTGCATCAGCTAAAACATACAAGGTGTTTTTAAAAGAGGCTCTTTCCGATGCTATGCCAGCATTTGAGTATCATTAGCAATCTTCTCAGATGGTGCATTCCAGGCTGAAACACATTATTTGCTGCTGAATTTAGCAGGATATGTAGACACAGGCTGCCTACACACTGACCTCTCCAGGGTTTCAGACTGGGGGTATTTCCCAGTCATATGTAGTGATGCTGAGGACTGAACATGGCACCTTCTCCCTGCAAATCATTTCCCAGTAAGCTGTGGTCCATCTGGTCATGGACATAGGAATATGAAGAAGAATGGCAGCAAACAAAGGCTTGTTTCATTTAAGCAACTCTGGTTGAAACTGAAGTGCAGGATTAGGCCTTTAAGGGTTTTTTTAGTGAGAGTCTGTCCACCCTGTGAAAATAAATCCTGGTTTGGAGCTGCTTTAGGTTCTGAAATACTAGAACTACAGGCTATGGAGGAACCTTCTAAATACTGCACACATTCAGTTTATTTGCAGTGGTTCCCAGAGCTGCCCATAAGCCCCTGAAAGTTTTGAGATGGGACAGGCTTCAATTCTACCTTCTGACCATCAGGTGGCAAACGTCTACCAAAAATGGAATGGAGATAAACCACACTGTGATGCATGCAAGAATGGGAAAAAATATTTTGATTTTGGTTTGAAAGCCAAACTTTTGCATGAATGGAAGGAACTCTGTAACCTGATTGAATTATGCAAATATGTATATACTTCCTTTCTCTGCATTAATTTTGTGACTAGTGCTCATGCTTCCTTATTGCATATACTGTAATTCTTCTATGAATAATTGGGGGGGGTGGCAGGGAAGAGGTATGAATAGTTGCCACTGAAATCCTGGCCATTAGAATTCTGGTTTAGCACTTTGGCTTCTGAGCTGGGACTTGACATTGCCCCAAACGTATCAAATTCATGTATCAAAGTGAACTGGAAACTCACTTTTACATGGCAAAACCTGAGATTCCCAGGATTTTTACAACTCACTGAAGGGTCAGGTGATAGCATTTCTCAGCAATGAAGTCTTTTTTAATTAAGGTATGTACATTGTTGCTGTTGTTGTTATTGCTTTAAAAAAGCATAATGTTATTTCAAATTTAATAGACTAGACCATAATGTAAACATAACTTTTATATGCACTGGGAAACAAACAAATAAATGTGTGATTGACTTTACTGTGATATTTGCTTTATTGCGGTGGTCTGGAGCCAAACCCACAACATATCTCTGAGATATGCCTGTATTATAGTAGCAGAATGAGACTGAGTAGGAGATGAATTGACTGACATGGTCATTAGCAGGAGATATTCCTTGATTACCGTAAACATTGCTACTCCCTGCCAGTGGCGTAGCGTGGGTTGTCAGCACCCGGGGCAAGGCAAGTAATTTGCGCCCCCTAACCCGTGGATTTTAGTAGGGGCAGAGAGCAGCGTGTGCGAGCGCCCCCCCAGATGTTGCGCCCGGTGCGGCCGGCCCCCCCTGCACCCCCCCACAGTACGCCACTGCTCCCTGCCTCCCCTTTTATTTCAACACGTAGATCCCAGCCTCTCCAAACCATCCATCAGAATGAGACCTGGGGACACACTTGCGGAAGGCTTCAATGTCACCATCGAGTGTCACGGACCGGAGAATGGCCTGAACTTTTCTTTGCACAAGTCCAGCAACCTGATAGCATGGCAGATGGCAAAATCGGACGGAAACACATCTGAGTTCTCTCTTTCCATGATCAGGCTGGAGGATGAAGGGAATTATACCTGTCAGTATCACCGCAGAGGACATGCCTTTCAGTGGTCGGAGCCAAGTGACGCAGTGGGGTTGGAACTTGTGACAGGTGAGGAGCCTGGCTTTGTGACTTTGTTTTCCTTCCTTCTGTGTATATGGCAAGAGTTTGGGGAATTGTGACGACCAAAGCCAAATACCTCTATGGCAGAACCATGGTCACATGGCACAGAATGGAGTAACCAGGTGAGTTGACTCCACTGGCAATGGCTAAGTATGTGTGGGTTCAGCCCCGACAAAAGAGCAGTGGCAAGAGAAATGGATGAACTATGCAGAACTGGCTAAACTGACATACAAATTGTGAGATAAGGACAACTGTGATTTTAAAGAAGAATGGGAACTTTTTACAAACTACTTAAAAAGGCAACAAAATGAATTGGACTCCTTGGCAGGTTTTGAATAAACATACACAAATTTATTGATTGTTAACATAGTAGACAGATAATATAAGGATTTATGCAATTTTACAATTTGCAGAGAATAATATGTTGAGAAATCAGAGAGAGGAGCTGAGGGAAGTCTAGGTGGGGGAGGGTTTGATGGGGAGGTGGGGGGAAGGGGAAAAATAATGAATATGATATGTTTTGATATTTTGTTATGTTGAAATTGTTATTAAAAAAAGTAAGTGTGGGTTCAGAAATGAATAAGGAGGTACATTTGAAGCCTGAGGGAGATGGAGACAGCCCTGGGAATTGTGGGAAGCATATGGTTGTATTTACATGATTGTGTCTGGGACCACGTTATCCCTCTTTGATATTCTGATATTTGTTCATTTACCGTATTTTTCGCTCTATAAGACGCACCAGACCACAAGAGGCACCTAGTTTTTGGAGGAGGAAAACAAGAAAAAAAATATTCTGAATCTCTCTTGCTGTTCTGGCTTCTGGGATAGCTGTGCAGCCTGCATTCGCTCCATAAGATGCACACACATTTCCCCTTACTTTTTAGGAGGGAAAAAGTGAGTCTTATAGAGCAAAAAATACGGTACTTAATATCCTGCCCTTCTACCTTCCTCTGCTGCCACCATCTCCACCAGTAGCTTCAGACTCAGGCTCAGGTTCCTCCTCTTCTTGAGTTCCTCATTGCAAGTCCTCACAATCTGCCAATGCATTCCCAACTGACCCCCCCAGGCAGTGCTGAACCTGACCTTCTGCTCTCTTGGACTTGATATCCCACTTTTCACTCCCCTTCAGGAGTCTCAAAGCGGCTAACAATCTCCTTTCCCTTCCTCCCCCACAACAAACACTCTGTGAGGTGAGTGGGGCTGAGAGACTTCACAGAAGTGTGACTGGCCCAAGGTCACCCAGCAGCTGCATGTGGAGGAGTGGAGACGCGAACCCGGTTACCCAGATTACGTGACTACCGCTCTTAACCACTACACCACACTGGCCCTCTTCAGCCAGGACCATCCAACCAATCCATTGGTGGATGAAATTTCAATCCCACATTATGGACCAGTAATTCTGAACGGACCACCCAGCCAGTGACCAATCACAAACTGACCACTTTTGGATGCTCCTGCATTTTCATAAAAACTGGAACGCAACATGTATCCCTGCCATCTTATTAGTGGAGCTGTCAGTTGGTCCACTGCTTGCAGACTTAGTATGCTTTGTATCATCTCTCTGGTTCTAGTCAGAAGTAAAAGACAAGTGGAGTAGATTAGAAGGCTGCTTCCATTGGCAGGTAGATCCCGCAGGCTGTTCTTATGTTCTTAGAAATCAGAAGTAAGTCCCACTGAACTCAGTGGGGCTAAGTATGCTGAGGGCTGGAAGTTAGAAAGTCAATTTGGAGGGATGGGAGGAACTTGACGACTCGAGAGAGTCAAAATATAGGTGATGAAAAGAAATGTAAAAAATGTATGGTGTTTTTTGAAAATGAAAATGTTAATAAATATTATTTTTTTTAAAAAAAAAAAAGTATGCTGAGGGCCACAGCCTTGGGGTAATCTCCCTCCCCACCCTGCCTTCATCACAACCAACAATTGAGTAGTAACCCTTCTCTGTCTCACTCTGCAGCAAACACTTTTACATCCATGGAGATCATCATCCGCCTGGGAGTTGCTGGCTTGGTGCTGCTTTCCTTGGTGCTGATTGTGGCTGAGTTCATGTGCAGCAGGCAAGGCTGAGAAGCTCTGACTCGACTCAGTTCCACAAGTCAAGACCCTTCCTTGAGGCATCCGAGACAAGCAAAGCCACAGGAATCCCATAGAGACTGGTTTCATTTCTTGTTCGTCTGAAGGCCAAATTTCTATTCTGTGATAACACCAAGAACCTTTTCGGAAGTGGCTGGGGTGGGGTGAGAATACTGGAGGCTTCTGTTTTCTGTGCCTTTTTTTTATTTTTTTTGAGCTTTTTATGTAAGTTTGGAACACTTAACTTACTGTTCAGCTAAGTCCTTCTCAGAGAAAACCCATTGAAATAACTGTAACTTATGATTTTATTCCTTGTCTGGGTGTTTTGCTTTTATTATTATTATTATTATTATTTATCTCTTATAGTAATCGTATCAAATGAAAAGCAATAAAAAGCATACCCGTCCATCTAAAACCAATGTGACTGTGAGTTAGGTAATTGCTTTTCTGTTGCTTTGAACTGTGATTGGGCAGGAGTAGCAAACTCCACGATGCCCATCCTCAGGGAGAAAGCAGCTCCTGAAATCCAGCGGGGGAAATGAGAGGATTTTCGCGGTATGAGAGCGGAAGACTGTTGTGTGGAGCCAGCATGGAAGAATGCTAGTGCATATCCCCTGAAGGAAATGAAAGATCCCTAGTTTAATTCAAGGGTGGCAAAGGCAGGGGGCAGGGTTTATAGGAAGGGTGGAAATGTCCAAAGCTATTGTGGGGTGCTATTTTAGGGACAGGGGTGGAGAAGAGACCATTGTCAAAGCTCTGCGGAATACTACCTCCCTCTCTCAGAGTCTCTGAGATAACCTGATGCCCTGCCCTGTTATTACAGTGCCACTGCACAATATTTGGCTTCAGGCATCAAAACATCTCAGGCCACTCCTGACATGAAGTCATTCTCAGAGGAGTTCCAGGGAGCCTCCCTCATCGTCCGCTCAGCCTGCAACGAAGGATGAATATAGACCCTTATTTTGTAGAAAGAGGAACCCTGCAGAGCCCCCTTGTATCACTTCTGTTTCTCCTGCTTTTCGAGGAAATGGAGTATTACATAGAGTCAGATGTTGCACACAGTGGTTGTCACCGTTAACTTCAAGGGAAGGGACTGCCTGCCTTTCTAATGCGGAACGAGTGTAGCTTGGTAGCAGAGCATCCGTTTTGCATGCAGAAGATTCCCGGTTCAATTCCTGACATCTCCAAGTACAATACCGAGAGAATCTTGCCTGAAATCCTGCAGAGCAGCTGCCAGTCCTTGCAGACAATACGGGGCTCAATGGACCCACTGACTCACTCATTCTGAGGCAGCTTCCTGAGCTCCTTGCTTTGCTAAGTCTGAGGTCTCTCAGTAACCTTCTACTTTTGTTAATGGAGAAAAATCGAAGGAAGTAGTTTAAAATTTGACTTTCATTTTATTTTTCAAATTTTGTTTTAATGGAAAGATTTCACTACAATCAAACCATGATTTGGAAGTCAGGGAGAACTCTGGTTAATCCAAATGGAAATGGAAGCTTCTAATATCCTACCTGACAAAAGAAGAAGAGTTTGGATTTGATATCCCGCTTTATCACTACCCAAAGGAGTCTCAAAGCGGCTAACATTCTCCTTTCCCTTCCTCCCCCACAACAAACACTATGTGAGTTGAGTGGGGCTGAGAGACTTCAGAGAAGTGTGACTGGCCCAAGGTCACCCAGCAGCTGCATGTGGAGGAGCAGAGACGTGAACCCGGTTCCCCAGATTACGAGTCTACCGCTCTTAACCACTACACCACACTGGAGGAGGCACATGAGCCTGAGGCTTGCTGCGGTTCTTTTATATAGAAGAAAACCATGAATGTCAGAGCTGGGCCTAGGACAGCATCAGAGTAAGACAGAAATAAGTATTTGAGAGCTGGTCGTTCCTCTGCAGTGGGGAGCCATCATGACTGCAGTCCCAATGCCTCTTTGGAGCTTAAATTTACAACTCACTATGCATCTGTGAGTCTATACAGAGGGACACACCACCAAGTCTCCTAATTGTTCCTTAAATGTGCTTTTTTGATCAACAGGGTCCAAAGTGACAGCATAAACACAATATCTTTGGGGAGGAGGCAGTAAGTGACCAGAGCTTGAATTTGCCATGATGTACAACTGGGCATACTAGATTTCTTTTGCCCCAACAATACTACTGAGATGCTCTCTCTCTGAGAACTAGAAAAATTAAAAATAGGACTTGTGTTCCACGTCAAACACTCAGCCCTTCACTTCCTCTGGTTTAGCAACCATCAGATAGATGCAAACTAATAAGGGATGTGGTTGATCAGGCAGCTGTGGAAACGGAAGAAAGACCACAGCATTGGCCGATCAGAGAGGAATCATTTCTTCTGCGGAAGAGCTGCATCACAGAACATTGCTGGGTTTTAGCGGCAACAGCCTCCAGCTGAGATCTTCACTCGGGAGACAGCAGAATTAGGAGCAAACGGAACAAACAGCTGGCTACAGAAGCCACGCCATGAAATTCCCTTCCAGCATCCTCTTTCTAGGTTGGTCTCACTCCTTGGAGGGCGGTGGGGTCAGAGTGTTGGTTTCTATTTCCCTCACTGAGCAGCAACTGCAGTCACAAGACATTGTTTTGCATTCCACAGTCCACATTACTGTTGGATTCCCACGGGAATGGGAGACTGGATGTGACGTACACTGGTTTCCTGTTTTTCACTGTTCTCTCGGTTTCTTTGTTAGAGAGACAGTTGCTTCTCTGCTCCCGGCAGAGGCAGCATGGATGTTTGTATTCTTTCAGCATAGAGTGTAAATAAAATAAAATTAGCAATGTAGCACATTTACCTGCTTATCCTTCTGCTGTGTGGACTACTCTGCTTAGGCTCAAGATAAGATGAGCCTGTATCAGCTTCAGATGGACCGAAGTTGGTCAAAATCTCACACAGAGTGTTTGCAAGAGCAGGCCTGGGAGATTGGAGGCCCGGCTTCCATTTCTGTTGCTCAGATATCTGGACTCTAAATGGATCCTCTCCTTTCCAGGGTGTTGGCTGACCAGGCAGTGGCAGATCTCCAGAGGTGAGTGTCAGTCAGCTGTGAGAATGGTGATAAAAAATAGGGGGTGAGAAGAATGGGAACTAAATGCCGTAGACTCCTCCAACCAGGACTACTTTTCTCATGGTAGACTTTATCTGTCTCATATTCAAGGCTTTTTTCCAGTCGGAACTCAGTTCCGGCATCTTTTAGGTGGGGGCAGTTGCCATTATCAGAGAACAAGGGAGGCTTTCATGGTGATTTCCGGTACCTCTTTTCTAGAAAAGTTGAACTGCCCTTATTTATTTGTCTCTAGACAACCTGTCAAGGAAACCGTCCTCCCAGTTATCCACTTCAGTTTATTTCTCTTGGGTGCAAGGGCTGTTTAGACACAGGGATCCTTAGTCCTGCCCCTCCCACTGTAAACATCACTAGATACTAAGGGAGAACCTTCTCTTTCATTGCCTCCCGGCTGCATGAATCGCAACTGGCGCTGTCCTTCCTGTCTCCTGTGTCTTGGCTTATGCAGGAGAGTGAGCAACCAAGTGACATAAAGGACCTTAGGTTATATGTCAACTGGAAAATGTCACAGATTAATACACGTACCACACTTTTGTGGATTTTTGTACCCTGATACAAGTCTACAAGTCTCCCATTGCTACTGCTCTGCCTTCCAAATCTGACTCCTGTTATCTTTCTTTCCCAGGACAGCTTTATCGGAAGCCTTCCATCTCAGTGAGACCAAGTCCTCAGGTCATCCTAGGTGAAGATTTCTATATCCACTGTGAGACTGAAAATAACTCAGAAGCAACCTTCTACCTTGTCAAGGAAGGGAGTTCAGCGACTGTGGATTCTAAGACTGCCTCACAGTATACAGATTTCAGCCTTTCTAATGCCAAACATGTAGAACCCAATGGCGGGTTCTACAAGTGCAAATATTGCTTTAATGAATATAAATGCTCAGATTTCAGCGATAATGTTTATGTCAACATAACAGGTGAGAGTTTTGCTCTGTCCTTAGACCTATTCATGTGCAGGGCATAGTTACGTTGAAAGCAAAGCAGTTTCTCATTTTAAGCCCTAACCCTAATGTCCCCACTCCTTCAGGCAACAATCACATGCTACATGTGGTTGTCTGCAGAGAATCCAATGTGTGGACACACATGTAAGGACTCTGCGTGATTGTGACTGGTTACATATGTCTAGGTGGGAATGTCTCTGCAGACAACCCCATGGAGCACATGGGTGTTGCAGAAAGACAGGAGGCAGCCACCCTGTGTCACCATTTGAGGCAAAATGGGAATGTGCCTCTTCTTGCACGCCCCCCACTTCCATTCCTGCCAGAATGCCCCCTCCCTTCTTGCCAAATGCGACAAGAGTCAGTCCGTTGCACATGGCATTGCCACTCATCTTCTCTGTCCCAGGTGAACAGATATTCCAAGAGCAAGTTTCCTATTTTACAGAGTGATACAGTTGCAGATGTTCCACCTTCTGAATATCAGTTCTCTCTCTTTTCAAGGGGACCTTTCTCCAAAGCCTGCCATCTTTGTGAGGCCCAGTCCTCTCGTCGTCCCAGGGACACGATTCTACATCCACTGTAGAAATGAATATCGTAGAAATGAATACCGTGAACAAGCAACTTTCTATCTCTTCAAGGAAGGGACTCCGGGGCATTTGTTTTCTAGGACTGATTCATTAAGTCCTGCATTTCTTATTCCTAATGCCAAGGAAACAGATGGAGGGATCTACTGGTGTTCATATTGCTTCATTCAAGACCAAGTTCGAAAATGCTCAGGTTCCAGTGACAGAGTTTACGTCAACATAACAGGTGAGGGCTCAGCTCCGTCTTGGTGTGCCAGTTTCACAAATGATTCTAAAGTGGAGGTCGAATTTATTGCATCTTCAACCAGAAGGAAATGATGCATCTTCTCTCTCATTCTCTTTCTATATCACATTCCTATAAGATTGTGGTTCTGCCTTCTGCTGAATGTTGGAGTTGCACCAGCCCTTAAACACCCCTCTTCTTCTCTTTCCCATTCAGAGCATTTCTATCCCAAACCTTCCATCTCAGTCAGTTCGCATGAGTTTATTGCCTGGGGGGGAAATGCAACCATCCACTGTAAGAGTGAAGAGAACCCAATGGCAGAATTCACTCTGCTGAGAGAAGATTCTTGGGGTTACCGTGAGATCCAGAAGATGGAACCAGGCAGTATTTTATTTCCCATTCTCAATGCTAAACGAACTGATGGGGGGATCTACTTTTGTACCTATTGCTTCCAATCAGACTTGGACTTCAATCAGCGATGCTCAAACTACAGTGACAGAGTGTACATCAACATCACAGGTGAGATTCTGTCTTGGGTCGCATCCACACCAAAGACTCTTATACCACTTTAGCAGTCATGGCTTCCTCCATGTAGTTTGGGAACTGTAGTTTCACCAAAAGGTTAAAGTCTCTGTCAGAGAGTCCATTGCCAGTGTGATGAAGCAGTTGATGGTTCTGGATGACATTGAACCACACTCTTTGCCAACTAACTTACCTCACATGGTTGTTGTGAGGACAAAACGAGGTAAAGAACCATTATGCTGGCTTGAGTGTCTTGGGATATAGTTCAAAAAATAATGATTAATTAGCTAATTACATGTCTTAATATATCTTAATATACTGTTGGGGAAATGTATGTTTATATACCATTTTCTATTTTGAAAAGCAGAGGCACTCAGGTGCATAGTCCGTAATCCAAGTTAACATATTTTTGTTATGGTGGCAATGCATTATTTTGGAAGCTGCACATTAGGTAGATCTGCCTTTAAGTCTCTGTTAAATCAAATTTCTCATCTGCCTTTCCTTCATTCCATCACCTGAAAATGAAGCAGAAATTGTTATTTTTTTTGGCCAATTATATGGCATTGGCACATATTGGCTCAGGCCTCTGGTGAAGACGAATGGTTTGACTCAGTATAAAGCACATTTTCTTATGCACTCTGCATTATTAGTTTCCCCAGCTACTGGTTTTTTGATGGGGCAGGGATAATATTCAGGGAACTAGCATATGGTTCAGCCTCCCTTCCTGCCCTTTAGCTTCAGAGATTGTGATTCACCTTGCCCATACTTTCAAACATGTCTTTGCACCATCAGGGGGGGGGGAGAGATGAAGCTGAAATAATTTGGAAGATAAAGTATTTGGATGCTACTCTCTTTGCACAGTGTGCCTGCACAGTATATCCAGTATATGTCTATTGAAGGTGGTTTTGTGCATAGCAAACAGGTCTTTTGATCTGATGCAAATTACCAGGATGCATTAAATGCACCACAAGCAACATGTCTCAGTCCTTTCTTGGCTGTTTTTATCTTTTATTTTTCCTAACACTAGATCCCTGGTTTTCTAAACCTTCCATCACTCTGACACCAACACAGCAGATTTCTACTGGGATGAATGTCAGCATTGAGTGTCAGGGGGCAGAGAGTTATCTGACCTTCTCCTTGTTCAAATCAAACAACCTGATAGCATCACAGGAGGCAGAAGAAAACAGAAATGCAACCAAGTTCTTTTTCTCTGAAGTGAGGTTGGAGGATGGAGGGAGCTACACCTGCCGATATCACCGCATAGGATTCCCCTTTCGTTGGTCAGAGTCAAGTGATCCCATGGAACTGGTTGTGACAGGTAAGGCGCTTCCATAGGTCTTTCTCCCACCTTTCTTCTAACTTTCACTCTCTGTGCATGAGCTCTAGGGATTATGGCTGTCAAAGCCAAATACCACCCTAGGAGGCCTTGAGCCACATTACAAGGAAGGGAGGAACTGGGTGTTTGGGTTTGCATCAGCAACGGGTTACTAGAGGCTAGATCAGAAATGAAGATGATTGCATCCAAGGTGAGGTGCATGGGAGATGGAGGTACATGGAGATAGCAGGAAGCCCATCTCAATATTCACTTAAAGGTAAAGGGATCCCTGACCATTAGGTCCAGTCATGACCGACTCTGGGGTTGCAACACTCATCTCGCTTTATTGGCCGAGGGAGCCGGTGTACAGCTTCTGGGTCATGTGGCCAGCATGACTAAACCGCTTCTAGTGAACCAGAGCAGCGCACGGAAATGCTGTATACCTTCCCGCTGAAGCAAATTTATCTACTTGCACCTATTTATCTACTTGCATTTTGACGTGCATTTTGACGTGCTTGCATTTTGACGTACATTCTTGAATAAGACAGATGAGAGGTAGGGTGCTGGAGTGGTAACTTGCAGAACTTAAGGAGGAAGCTGAAACGTCAGGTGGATGACCTTTTCATAGACATAGGGCAGTATGAAAGAACTGCTTCCCCACAGAATCCAGGGCCAGCCCTACTGTTAGGCAGAGTAAATCAGCTGCCCTGCCTGAGACAGAAGATGCAGTGGAAGAGAAGTGCTAGAGGACAGAGTTGGGTGCCATACCACCTCCCACAGTGCAAGCTCTGCACAACCTAGAGAAGCTGGTGAGTTTTAGTACATGGAGTGGAAGGGAGGAATGGCACCCCCTTGTCCCTCACCTCAGGCAGAAAAATATATTGGGCTGGCCCTGCATCCTGTTGGAAAATACGTGTGATTTAATCAACCATCTTGCTGGGACCAGACACGTGGATCATTCCAACTTCAAAACTGGTGCTCTCCTTTCTGGAATGGCAGCAGTTACCCCACCCAGTTTGCCGTGGATTGGGATTGTTTCATCTGCACATATATTCCCAGTGTAAAGGAAAGTGTGTGTGTGTGTGTGTGTGTGTGTGTGAGAGAGAGAGAGAGAGAGAGAGAGAGAGAGAGAGAGAGAGATGGATGGATGTCATACACACCATTTAAAACACATGACTCATTCAAAATAATCCAGAGAACTGTGGTTTGGTAAAGATGCTGGGAATCATACGTCAGCAGCAGAGCAGCCCATAGGGAAGATGCAGGTGTTACAAGAACTACTGAGGGAAAAACTGGACAATGCTGAGACTGCGTACAAGAAAAGCGCTGATGAGCTTAGACAACAGGGGGAGGAGATCAAAGTTGGGGATAAGGTATGGTTGTCGACAAAGGACTTGCCAACGAAGGGGAGGTGCAGGAAGTTAGAGGCGAGGCGGTTGCGGCCCTTTGAAGTGGTAGAGCAGATAAACCTGGTATCATTCAAACTCCAGTTGCCAGCCTCAATGAAGATATATCCTGTATTCCAATAATTCATTTTGCAATCTTTCCCCACCCCACTTCACCCCACTGTCTCATCATTAATCTTCAATCTTAGGGGGTTGGGGGTTAATCTATGGGAAGCTTTATTGTCCAGCTTCCTCTTAGTGACTGCATGGTTGGTTCAGTTCTGCCCCACCCTCAAAACAGCCCATTTTAGGAACCTTCTCTGGCAAAAGTTTTGCTTCCACAACATTTTCCATGGTTGCAGAGGAGGCCAGTGAACAGGGATGTCTGTTCGATCCAAACCCATCCATTAGATCAAGGATTAGGATAGCAGTCTTAGTTGTGCAACATAGGAATGCATGTCTTGCATATATTATACAGTGGTACCTCTGGTTACGAACTTAATTTGTTCCGGAGGTCTGTTCTTAATCTGAAACTGTTCTTAACCTGAGCTACCTCTTTACCTAATAGGGCCTCCCACTGCCGCTGCCCTTTTATATGGCTTCACTTGGGTCACACCTATCTACCTGGTCACACTCAGAGGGAGTGGCTCCCAACAGGTATTGCAGGAAGTCCTCCCTTTTTGGAGTCACCTTCCTCTGTGTGTCCATTCTAGGAAACAATGAATGCTGGACTTGACTGCTCTATGTCTACATCCCACATTTCCAAGGAAGGTACCTGCTACCTTTTGGACTTGGTTCTCCTCAAACTACTGCATCTCTGAGTGATGATAGAGCTGCTTTTTAAAACAAAAAACCTTGCTTACCAGAAATTTACACAAACCGATGGATATGGGCTGTATTGTAGCAGATCCCAAACTCCCCTCCTCTGGTCATGGATCAGATGAAAATTGGTGAGAGACTTGGAGGATGACTTAATTCATTTTATGCCTGTTGTAGCTGTTGTAATACACTGTGCCAGATGTCGCAAGATTTGTAGGTGTGTGTTTTTTTCTCAGACAGGCCTCAGACCCCCTAAATGAAGCTCATGGGTGTGGGAATGTTCTGGGGTGCAGGAGAGGATATATTGACTAATTATATCCTTGTCCAACTTGTGCTAACAAGTTCCCAAAATATCAGCAGAGTTTATAGACATTCCCCTTTAAGTTCGCAACGGTAACGTGTGCACAGGTTCGCTAGAACCTCTATAATAATTACTCTGGTAATTTCCCCTTTGTTCCCTCTTAAAATACAAGACACAACACAGTCTTTATAAAAGTATAAAAGAGTTTACTCACGATCTGTTCACAATATGATCCCAGATGGCAGACAGGCTTAAAAAGGTAAAATACACTTAGAATCTATCTTATAGGAAGACAGCCCTCTCCTCTCTTGGCTGAGAGCCAAGAGGGCATCCTGCTTCTTTGAAAGGTGATGGCAGAGAGAGAGAGATGGCTGCCTGCCCTGTGCTTTTGTCATTACCTGCACAGGTGAGGCCACACCCACCTCTGGTCACATGTGGAGGAAGTCCGTCCCCGGGAAGTTTACCTGCTTGCTGGACAGACATCCCTCCCCATGTTGTAACATGTACACTCTAGGAATGTTGTCATTGACTGCTCCTGTGTTTACATCCCACATACCCCTTCTCAGGCAATACAACATATACAAAACATAAACAACTTTATTCAACCACCCAGAGTCCCAGTTTGACACGTAGATTCTGGAAACTCTCTCTTGGTAGGGGTTTCGTCAGGATATCAGCAGTCATCTCTTGGGTGCTGCAGTAGGATAGCTCCACAAGTCCATCCTGGATCATCTGGCGTATGTAGTGGTATTTAACCCCAATGTGTTTTGTTCTGGCCAGGAACTTCTCACTCTGCGTCAGCTTCAGGCAACTTTGATTGTCCTCTAGCAAGCTGACAGGCCCTTTTCTCACCAACCCAAAGTCCTTTATGAGTTGATCAAGCCAGGCGATCTCTCTGCAGGCTTCTGTTGCTGCAACGTATTCTGATTCTGTGGAAGATAATGCTACACAGCTCTGTTTATAACTGCCCCATGAAACAGGTCCATTCCCAAACATGAAAACATGACCACTTGTTGATTTATAATCAGCAATATCCCCAGCCCAATCAGCATCTGTATACCCAACCAACTTAGGGTCTTTGACGGCTGGTAACCTTAATTTACAATTCATGGTACCCTTCAAATATCGCACCACCCTCTTTACACCTGCCCAATCATGCTCAGTGGGAGAACTCACTTTTCTGCTAAGAATCCCCACAGCATTAGCTAAGTCAGGTCTACATATGGTAACTAAATACAAAAGTTTACCAATCGCCGACCTGTAGTCATTGTTGTCTGGCAACTGCTTCGAATCCTGCTGATTCTTCAGGAAGTCAGTAGCCATCGGTGTAGCAACTGGATGTGCGTCTTGCATCTGCATGTGCTCAACTAGCTCGTGGATCTTCTGTCTTTGGCTGAGAAGAAATGAGCCATCCTCTTCTCTTTCCACCTGGATCCCGAGGTAGTACTGGACATCTCCTAGCTCCTTGACCTCCACCTCCTTGCTAAGGTGTTTTACTATCTGTGTATAGTCTTTCTCACTTGCTGTGGCAATAATCAGGTCATCAACAAAAGCTAAGTTATATGAGAATTGTCCATTATTTGACTTACTGTACAAGCACTTGTCAGCATCGCCTTGCTTGTATCCAAGTTGCGTCAACATTTTATGCAACTTCTGGTTCCAGGCTCTGGCAGCCTGTTTAAGTCCATAAAGTCCTTTCTGCAGCTTGCACACTAGATGTGCCTCATGTGGTTTTACAAAACCTTTGGGCTGCTTCATGTAAATTTCCTCTGAAATCTGCCCATGTAGAAAAGCGGTAGCAATGTCTATGTGTTTCACCCTCATTTTCTTGGAGGCTGCAATGCTTAAAAGCATTCTTACGCTGCTGTACCTCACAGTTGGTGCAAAAACTTCATCATAGTCTTCACCAAAACGCTGTGAAAATCCCTGTGCCACAAGTCTAGCTTTGTAGCGCTGCACTTCTCCTTCTGACCCCTTCTTAACCTTGAAAACCCATTTACTGCCAATGGCCTTCTTACCGGGAGGCAGCTCAGTGAGTGTCCAGGTCTTGTTCTGATGCAGTGCATCCATCTCCTCCTGTGCAGCCTTCCTCCAGAGACTGGCTTCTGCAGCTGGCATCTCCTGTATCTCTTCCCAAGTGGAAGGTTCCTGTGGAAACGCCGACCCTGCAAAGTAGGACAACCGTACTGGTGGGACACCTTTGTTGGTTCTGGATGAGATCCTGACCTCCGGTTGTGCGACCGCATCAGCTTCCTCATCCTCCTCCAACGCAGGCATGTCCCCATCTGAGTCCTCATCTTCGTCTCTGGTGCCGCCAGGGTTCTGGTTCTCTGCGTCATCTGGTGCGTCGCCTGTAGGGGGCGCTGTAACACTCGAAGGCAGATAATTACTTCGTGGGGTCTCAAAAGGGAAATATACAAACTCTTGAGTCCGTTCTGACTCATCTGAAGAATCCACAACAGTGTTCTTAGTGTCTACTTTTCCATATTCATAAAAATAAACCGCATGGTATGCATTTGTCTTACCAGTTTGTAAGTCCATAATTCTGTATCCTTTGCCTCCAGAGGCGTATCCCACAAGGATACCTGCTTTTGCCCTGGAGTCAAGCTTGTGTCTGTGTTCCTTGGGCACATGGAAGTAACACGGACTTCCAAACACACGTATGTGCGACAGATTGGGAGCTTTCCCATGCCAAAGTTCAAATGGTGTGCGCTCTGCACCTTTAGTTGGCAGTCTATTCTGCAAATAGACCGACGTGTATACTCCTTCGGCCCACAGCTTGTGTGGCAAACGTGCATCCTTTAGCATGCACCTTGTCATATCCATAATGGACCTAAACTTTCTCTCAGCTATGGCATTCTGCTGTGGTCTGTAAGGAATTGTGGTTACGTGTGCAATTCCTTCCTTGGCCAGGAGAGTCTGCACTTCATTTGAGCAGTACTCACCTCCATTGTCGCTCATTAACACAGCTGGAGCTCTCTGGAATTTGTTCTTGACCATGGCAATGTATTCCTGGAGCTTGTCCACTGTTTCACTCTTCTCTTTGAGGAAATATACAACACAAAATCTTGAAAAGTCATCCAGAAATATTAAAATGTATCTATTCTTTCCCAGTGAGGGAACATTCATGGGTCCACATATGTCAGTGTGCACTATGTCAAGCACTTTGTTGCTTCTTTGTTCTGCACAACGTGGAAATGAAGGTTTTATAGCCTTCTCAGTAATACAGCTTATGCACTTTGCTGGAGCTTTGTTGCTCTGCTTTACCTGCAAACCTCCTACAAGATTTCTTTTCTGTAGATCCAGAATGAGGCTGGCGTCCCTGTGTCCTAGCCTTCTGTGCCATAAGTCCAGATCTGCTTCATCCTTCTGGCTGGAATGTGCCACTTTTGCAGACTGGTTCTCTGAAAGATCAAGCTCATATACACCATTTATTAGCTTTGCTTGAGCAAACACTTTGCCATTTCTAGTCACTTTACATTCTCCATTTCCAAATGTGACCTGGAAACCTTTCTTGTCCAAAGTGGACACGCTGATTAAATTGCAGCTCAGCTCTGGAACATACAAAACTCTAGAGATTGTGTTCTCAATGCATTCATTGTTTATATTGCATTTCAGGCTCATGGAACCTGCACCTTTTGCTTTAACAATGTTGCCATCTGCAATCTCAATTTCAGATCCTTCTTCATCATTCATTTCATTAATCTCATTAAAATAGTCCTTTTTATATGAAAAATGCGAACTGGCACCTGAATCTAGAATCCATTTGTTACGTTTATTTTCACGATTCTGGACAGCTAAGTTCCTTTCTTGCAGTAACCATGTGCATTCACATTTCCCCTTCTTTTCCCCTTTTGGCTGAAAGGGGTGGGGTTTCTTGGCTTTAGGAGCTCTGCAGTTCTTTGCAATGTGTCCTTCTTTGTTACAATTGAAGCAAATCGCTTTCTTAGGCATCTCTTTGGACTTTGTACATTGCCTAGATGCATAACTGCTGTCCTTGCTTCTAGCATTTCTCACTGGAGATTCAGCTCTATCTCTGCATTCTTCTTTTAAATAACCAATCAAGTCTTTAAAAGTCAGACCTTGTCTATGAGCCATCAAACTTACAAATGCGCTAAAGCGTGGTCCAAGCGATGATAACAAAAATGCTATCTTTGTATCCTCATCAAAAGCTTTGGGAGTCAGATCAATTCTTTGAATAATCTCAGTAAACTTGTTGATGTGCTCTGTGAATTCCTCTTTTGAATTCATCCTCAATCTGGTTAATTTACACACCAAGTTTCTGAAGCTGTTTATGCTAGATTCTCCATACACGCGCTCAATATCTCTTAAGATTTGAGATGCATCATCTGTACTATTTATTAATGATAGCTGCTCATCACGAAGTCCACTCAAAATTATGTGTCTAGCTTCGCTGTTCATGCGTTTCCAAGCACTTATCTTGGCTAAATCCTCCTCAGACGATCCTGTAGGCTGAGGCTTTAAAGCTTCCAAAATGTGCTTATAATCTAAACATGCTATCAAGCGCTGCTTCCAGTGCATGAAATTGTATTCATTCAGCACAGGCATTCCTAGCTTTGCATCACTATCAAAAGCTGCTCTAGCCATTTTAAAATCCAAAATTTGAAAATTCTTCAAAATTTCAAAATTTCTCAAAATTTTAAAATCAAAATCTCAAAAATCTCAAAATGCAAAACAATTCTTCACTGCCTTGGGTCACTGTGAACTCTGAGGGAAGGGGGGGGGGGTTGCTTAATCCCCACTGCACAATGGAACAAAGGACCATGTGCTTACCAGGAAGTTAACTCAGAAAAATACTACTCAACTTAAAATCACAATCCAACGCAATCCTTCAAAAATATGCAGAAATATGCAATACTGGGGCCACTAACCCTTTGTGGGAATGTTCTGGGGTGCAGGAGAGGATATATTGACTAATTATATCCTTGTCCAACTTGTGCTAACAAGTTCCCAAAATATCAGCAGAGTTTATAGACATTCCCCTTTAAGTTCGCAACGGTAACGTGTGCACAGGTTCGCTAGAACCTCTATAATAATTACTCTGGTAATTTCCCCTTTGTTCCCTCTTAAAATACAAGACACAACACAGTCTTTATAAAAGTATAAAAGAGTTTACTCACGATCTGTTCACAATATGATCCCAGATGGCAGACAGGCTTAAAAAGGTAAAATACACTTAGAATCTATCTTATAGGAAGACAGCCCTCTCCTCTCTTGGCTGAGAGCATCCTGCTTCTTCGAAAGGTGATGGCAGAGAGAGAGAGATGGCTGCCTGCCCTGTGCTTTTGTCATTACCTGCACAGGTGAGGCCACACCCACCTCTGGTCACATGTGGAGGAAGTCCGTCCCCAGGAAGTTTACCTGCTTGCTGGACAGACATCCCTCCCCATGTTGTAACATGTACACTCTAGGAATGTTGTCATTGACTGCTCCTGTGTTTACATCCCACAATGGGTAGCCACTCAGGGACCACAGCTGGATAACCCCTGCTCTGTTGGATAATGTCAAAGCAGAGTCATCCAGCACTGCCGCTTGAATTTTTGTACAAACTCACTCTATTCGATTCTCCAGCTGCAGGTGAAAGCCTCCTATTTGACAGAAGGAGGCTGTTGCAAGTGTTTCACCTTCAAACCACCTTCCCATTCTCTTTCTTGATCAGGACAATATCCCAAGCCCTCAATTTCAGTGATTCCCAGTCCTAATGTCGCCCTTGGAGGTAATTTCTACATCCAATGTCAGAGTCCACATTACGGAGCCACCTTTGATCTCTACAAGGGAGAACCTGCAAAGTATGTGCGATCTGAGAAATCTTCGTCTTATACAGTGGATTTTTTCATTTCTGAGGCCAAACTAGAACATGGAGGAATTTATCATTGTAGGTATTGCTTCAATGGCCCATGTTCATATCTAAGTGACAGACTTTACATCAACATAACAGGTGAGGGCTTGGCAGAGTCTCTGTGTGACAGTTTTACAAATGACGCTAAAATGGGTGTTGGGTTTACTCCATCTGCCAATCAAATGGGGGGGAAAGTGCACTGATTGAACTATATAACTGAACTGATCAAAATATGTACCTACAAAAGGGATTCTTTATCTCCATTTCTATTTAATTGTTAGTATTTTATTCCAGATTAAAATGCATTCTCTGTAACCAAAGTCGTAATGGAATGCAGATTGTGTAGCACACTATATAATCCCCTGCTCTGCACTCCATTTGTCACACACCCAGGCCCTAGTCAACGGCCAAGGCAATGGATGTTACTATACAACCTGAAGCCTACAATGGAGGGTCCACAGCAATCCTACCCCAATAGGTTCTGTCCCTCTCACAGGGCATCTCTGCTGTGCAGCTTGCCTTCCCTGTCAAGGCTCACATCCCACCTGTGTTCCCTGCCAACTAATCTCCTGAGTAATGGCATACAGTGGTACCTCAGGTTAAGTACTTAATTTGTTCCGAAGGTACGTTCTTAACCTGAAACTGTTTTTAACCTGAAGCACCACTTTAGCTAATGGGGCCTCCTGCTGATGCCGCGCCACTGCTGCACAATTTCTGTTCTCATCCTGAAGCAAAGTTCTTAACCCGAGGTAATATTTCTAGGTTAGTGGAGTCTGTAACCTGAAGCGTATGTAACCCGAGGTACCACTGTAAATGCATCCTATCAATATTCACACTCTGAATAGTATATGGTTTTCTATGTTCCCAATAGCATTTTACAAAGCCAGACTATTGTGTAAGATTAAGGGATTAAGCATCCCTCTTTTTCTCTTTCTCCCCCTGGATAAGCTTCTCCCAAACCTTCCATCTCAGTGAGCCCAGGTGAGGTGATTGCTCTGGAAGGAAATGCCAACATCCACTGTAAGACCGAAAAACAGCAAGAAGCAGAGTTTACTCTACACATAAAAAATTCTTCAAATACTTATGAAAGCAAGAAGATGGGATCGGGAGAAGTTCTATTTCCCATTATCAATGCCAAAGAATCAGATGGGGGCATCTATCGCTGTAGCTATTGCTTAAAGCTCGAGAACACTCAAGAATGCTCAGACTACAGTGATGAAGTACACATCAAAGTAACAGGTAAGAAGATCCTGTCTTAATCCTTGTACAGAGTGGTGCCTTGCAAGACGAAAAGAATCCGTTCCGCGAGTCTCTTCGTCTAGTGGGTTTTCCGTCTTGCGAGGCATTCGTCTTGCGGGGCACCACTGTATGCATCTTTTGCAAATTGCACCAATACAGGTTTTAATTTGCTGCAATTGTAAATGAAATTGGAAACGTGTGCTGGCTCCACCATTCCTTAGTTTTAAAAGGAGGTATCTCTTCACGTCACAGTTGAGTATCATTTCAACATTTGTAAATGGATTCCCTGACTTCTACAGCATCCTTCCTCTCTGTCTCCTGGCCCCACACCTCTCCAACTGCCTCTTCTGCCTCTAATTCTGAACTGCCCTCTGCCCCAGACTCTTCCTGCTCACTAAACCCTGTCACCTGTGTATGACCCTTCCTCCTCACAGTCAGCTCTTCCTCCCTCTGACCACTCCTCATTGTTCCACCACCAGTCCCCTGGCTCTGAGCCATCTTCCCATGGGGGCTCCCTTGGGGAGTGCTGGTGCCCCCCACCTCTCCTCTGCATCCAGACAGTCCATGAGTCTTTATAAAGATATTGAACAACACTGGGCTTGTGAGCATTAAATGCCCGTTTGCAGATAGTAAACTCAGTCCTCACAGCAGAATGCAGCAGAAGCAATTGTGATTGGAATAGTAACAGCAAAGGTTTTATTTATAAAGCAAATAACAAAACAATAAGACGACTCTCACATCCATCTTCTTCAGCAGAGGAGCAGAGAGAGAGGAGAGAGGGAGGAGACATTTAAATCGTTCCCATACTCATACATCAATTAAGTAATTAAAGGCAACCCGCAACATTATGCAATGTGAGAAGGAGACATTACAATACTAACACCCTCCCCCTTTTCATGGTAACATTGCCTTATCATCTAGTACATCTGTACATATAGACCCAGTTGTTGTTTATTTACAACCTTCGACAACACGTCTCTGGGGGAAACAGAGGCTTCCTTCCTTCCTTCCCGTACTGAGAGTGATGGAAGCCCCTCCTGTCCTGTAATCCTGGCTGTACATCTCCAAGAGAGTGTGAGTGAGACAGAGGCAGCTTCAGAGGAACTGCAGCCTTTAGACATGGCTCCTGAGGGGGATGGGCAAATTGCCCCCGAGTCCCCACAGACACGATGAAGGAGTAGGGTCCAGGCTTGGCATCAGTCCAACAGGAGGAGGGGTGGCAGATGGAGGATATCCTGTTGGAGAAGAACCCGCCCTTTAGTGAGCTCAAAGTCATCATTGTCAGATGATTGAGCTGTGAGCTCAGACTGAAACTGCTGTGTAAAGGTAAAGGACCCCTGACCATTAGGTCCAGTCATGGCTGACTCTGCGGTTGCGGCGCTCATCTCGCTTTATTGGCCGAGGGAGCTGGTAACCAGCATGACTAAGCCACTTCTGGCCAACCAGAGCAGCGCACAGAAATGCCGTTTACCTTCCCACCAGAGTAGTACCTATTTATCTACTTGCACTTGACGGGCTTTTGAACTGGTAGGTTGGCAGGAGCAGGGACCGAGCAACGGGAGCTCACCCCATAGTGAGGATTCGAACCACCGACCTTCTGATCGGCAAGTCCTAGGCTCTGTGGTTTAACCCACAGCGCCACCCGCGTGTAAATACTACTGTGTAAATACTAATAAATCTAAGCGCAATTAAACTGCCAGCTTGCCGCATCTTTGGTATGAGAGGGACATTGTAAATCCTGACATTTATTTATGCAATATATATGTGATAAATAATAGCACAAAGCCAGCAGTACACACACCATGTGCCAGTAGAAACCAATTCATCAGTTAAAATACTCACAAGTTAATACAGTGATCCAACAGAATAGTTAAAAATTCACATGGTGGATAGTTGACCATCTATTTGAGCTATGATACATTCCACATTAGTGTGATTTTTGTAGTGGTGCTGCCACTTCCTTGCTTATGAGTTTCACAATGCCGGCACCACCATGAAGTTATTCTGTCCCTCTCACAGGGCATTTCTGCTGTGCAGCTTGCCTTCCCAGACAGGAGTCTCATCCCACCTGTGTTCTCTGCCAACTAATCTCCTGAGTAATGGCATAAATGCAGCCTATCGATATTCACACTCTGAGTTGCACGTGGTTTTCTATATTCCACAATAACCTGCAAATCTTTCCCATTTTACAAAGCCAGACTATTGTGTAAGATCAAAGAATTAAGCATCCCTCTTTTTCTCTTTCTCCCCCTGGATAAGCTTCTCCCAAACCTTCCATCTCAGTGAGCCCAGGAGAGGTGATTGCTCTGGAAGGAAACGCCAGCATCCACTGTAAGACCGAAAAACAGCAAGAAGCAGAGTTTACTCTACACATAAAAAATTCTTCAAATACTTATGAAAGCAAGAAGATGGGATCAGGAGAAGTTCTATTTCCCATTATCAATGCCAAAGAATCAGACGGGGGCATCTATCGCTGTAGCTATTGCTTAAAGCTCAAGAACGCGCAAGCATGCTCAAGCTACAGTGATGAAGTACACATCAAAGTAACAGGTAAGATCCTGTCTTGATCATTATATGCATCTTTTGCAAATTGCACCAATACAGGATTTAATTTGCTGCAATTGTAAATGAAATTGGAAACGTGTGCTGGCTCCACCATTCCTTAGTTTTAAAAGGAGGTATCTCTTCACGTCACAGTTGGGTATCATTTCAACATTTGTAAATGATGGATTCCCTGACTTCTACAGCATCCTTCCTCTCTGTCTCCTGGCCCCGCACCTCTCCAACTCCCTCTTCTGCCTCTAATTCTGAACTGCCCTCTACCCCAGACTCTTCCTGCTCACTAAACCCTGTCACCTGTGTATGACCCTGTGTATGACACAATGCCGGCACCACCATGAAGTTATTCCACCATTTAAATCCCTTTATTCTAAGATTATTCAGGCTTGTTCCATGTTTTTGTTGTTTACTGCTTGTGGTGTCTTTTTGTCGTTGATTTGCATGTAAACCAGCAATACGCTATTGCTATTTTCTTTGGGGTTGATTCCAATAATTCATTTTGCAATCTTTCCTCACCCCACTTCACCCCACTGTCTCATCATTAATCTTCAATCTTAGGGGGTTGGGGGTCAATCTATGGGAAGCTTTATTATCCAGCTTCCTCTTAGTGACTGCATGGTTGGTTCAGTTCTGCCCCACCCTCAAAACATCCTGCTTTAGGAACCTCCTCTGACAAAGTTTTGCTTCCACAACATTTTCCATGGTTGCAGAGGAGGCCAGTGAACAGGGATGTCTGTTCGATCCAAACCCATCCATTAGATCAAGGATTAGGCTAGCAGTCTTAGTTGTGCAAAATAGGAATGCATGTCTTGCATATATTATACAGTGGTACCTCTGGTTACGAACTTAATTTGTTCCGGAGGTCTGTTCTTAACCTGAAACTGTTCTTAACCTGAGCTACCTCTTTACCTAATAGGGCCTCCCACTGCCGCCGCCGCTCCCGCTTGATTTCTGTTCTCATTCTGAGGTAAAGTTCTTAACCCGAGGTACTACCTCCAGGTTAGCGGAGTCTGTAAGCCAAAGTGTTTGTAACCTGAGGTGTTTGTAACCCGAGGTACCACTGTATATGATTTGCCTAACTCTTACTGCATTTTTTTGTCAAATTTCCATCAGAACATGGTACGTGTGCTGTTGATCCTTTTTTTACAATATGTATTATATGCTGGATGGGACTTCCTTTGTTGATATAGTCCCTTTTAAGGCTATCTTGTGGGTTGTATGGGAGGTTGTTAGAAATTCTGGAATGTTGAGCTCAAATGCAGATGTTCCTCATTAAGGTCTCAAGGCCAGTGTTGAATGCTAATCAAAGACCTGTGTTGATTCCTTTGGGATGGAGGGGGTGAGCACCATAATTAGCACTCTCTTAAATCTGGGTGGGGCTGGTATGAGGGAGCTTTCATCCTGAAGGGATGATCAGTGCCTGTTCGGACCTTAGATTGTCTTATGCCTTCCTGCTCAGCCTGCTATGATTTGCATGTTTTGTGTCAGGCAGCTAGATGAGATAGTTTTGTTATTTTATTGGCTTCTGAGCAGTCCTAAATTGTGTAATCATGTGAAGTTTTTGCTTTTAATAAAGCCTTGTTTTTAAAAATAAAGTTTTTTTTATGAGAACTGACTTTGGTTCAAGTTACTGAGCCTCCCAGCTGACCCCCAGGCAGTGCTGAATCTGGCCTTCTGCTCTCTTCAGCCAGGACCACCCAACCAATCAATTGGTCAATGAAATTTCAAGCCCACATTATGGACCAGTAATTCTGAACAGAACACCCAGCAAATGACCAATCGTAAACTGACCACTTTTGGATGCTCCTGCAGTGACATAAAAAACTGGAACGCAACATGTATCCCTGCCATCTTATTAGTGGAGCTGTCAGTTGGTCCACTGCTTGCAGACTTAGTATGCTTTGTATCATCTCTGGTTCTAGTCAGAAGTAAAAGACAAGTGGAGTAGATTAGAAGGCTGCTTCCATTGGCAGGTAGATCCAGCAGGCTGTTCTTATGTTCTTAGAAATCAGAAGTAAGTCCCACTGAACTCAATGGGGCTAAGTATGCTGAGGGCCGCAGCCTTGAGACCATCTCCCTCCCCACCCTGCCTTCATCACAACCAACAATTGAGTAGTAACTCTTCTCTGTCTCACTCTGCAGCAAACACTTCTACATCCATGGACATCAACATCCGCCTGGGAGTTGCTGGCTTGGTGCTGCTTTCCTTGGTGCTGATCGTGGCTGAGTTCATGTGCAGCAGGCAAGGCTGAGAAGCTCTGACTCGACTCAGTTCCACAAGTCAAGACCCTTCCTTGAGGCATCCGAGACAAGCAAAGCCACAGGAATCCCATAGAGACTGGTTTCATTTCTTGTTCATCTGAAGGCCAAATTTCTATTCTGTGATAACACCAAGAAACCTTTTCGGAAGTGGCTGGGGTGGGGTGAGAATACTGGAGGCTTCTGTTTCTGTGATTTTTTTGAGCTTTTTAAAAAAGTTTGGACAGGGCCGTCTTAAGCATATCCGGCGCCGTCGTGCAAAGATCCTTGCAGCAGCCCCCCCCCCCGCCCGTTTCCCAGAGTTGTCAACCTCCTTTTTTTAGGGAGGGAAGACCAGCAGCAGCGGAGGGAGCCTCTTGGGACGGGACGCGCTGCCGGCGATGCACCCAGCTTTGCGGGGCTGAAGGAGGAGGGCAATGGTTGGGGGGGGGCAGCTTCTCCAGCAGGGAAGAGGCGGAGGCTGGATGAGGCCCCTCCCAGCTCAGCTGGCTGCTTCGTGCTGCGGTGGCCACGGCAGGCGGAGGCTCCGGGTGCAGCGCTTGCATGGTGGAGGCGGGTGAAGGCAGCGAGCGGGCCGGGGGAGCCAGCCCTGTGGAGATCCGTGGTGCCTGATGCCCAGCTTGAAGATGAAGACGGCTAGCAGGAGGGGTTCCTGCACCTCAACCCGATAGGCGAGCGAGCTGGCCTGCACCGAGCGAGCGAGGGTTTGTGCACCGCTCCCGCTTCCCTTTTCACCTTCTGGCACTCCGCAGAATTCGGCGCCTGCAGTTTAAAAGGGGAAAAACTGAGCCAACGCTCAGCAGGAGCATTACACGCACCCTCGCTCACTCACTCAGCGCGCTCGTTCGGTGTTCCCCGGACTCTCGCCTGGCACCCTCCAAAACTTGGCGCCCTGGCACCCCACACCACTAGCATCTATGGGTAAGACAGCCCTGAGTTTGGAAGACTTAACTTACTCTTCAGCTAAGCCCTTCTCAGAGAAAACCCATTGAAATAACTAAGCGAATCATGTGTATTAACTCTGTAACTTATGATTTTATTCCTTGTCTGGGTGTTTTGCTTTCTTTTTTTATTATCTCTTATAGTAACCGTATCAAATGAAAATCAGTAAAAAGCATACCCGTCCATCTAAAACCAATGTGACTGTGAGTTAGGTAATTGCTTTTCTGTTGCTTTGAACTGTGCTTGGGCAGGAGTAGCAAACTCCACGATGCCCATCCTCAGGGAGAAAGCAGCTCCTGAAATCCAGCGGGGGAAATGAGAGGATTTTCGGGGTATGGGGTCAGAAGACTGTTGTGCGGAGCCAGCATGGAAGAATGCTAGTGCATATCTCCTGAAGGAAATGAAATGAAATATCCCTAGTTTAATTGGCAAAGGCAGGGGACAAGTTTTATTTTTTTTTGGTCATAAACAGTTTTTGTGTAGCTGGTGTATGTGACCATGTGGAAGGTGTACGAGGGGAAGGAGTGCCCTTCCAGACGCCCTAGCGTGCCCTGGGAGACTTGCTACACTTGCTTGCAGAATGGCAAAAACTAGTGAAGAAAGAAAAAAAGGGGATAGAAATTCCTCTGCTGTCCTGAATTTTGGGATGTAACCCCCCCCCAATTTTTTAATCCATTCTAGAAATTGTGGGTGGGAAATACAAGTGAATCTGTAGGTTACTACAAGGTTATTTTAACAAAATGCAAACCGTGCCCCCACAGCAAGAAGCACGGGCAACAGACAAATATCTCACATTGTTGGAGAAGTGCTCAGATCCAGGCATGGCTTCCTCACGCCTTTCACAAGGACCAACCAACCACCATTTCAATACAGTCTGTTCGGATGAGCTCCTCTAAGCGGGGGCAATAAAAAGATAGGAGGAGAAACCTGGGAGGTAAAGGAACAAATCTGTCTTTAAAGATTTCATACCCAACTGAGATCAGATTGATGAATGGGCCAAATACTGTATTTGGGGGCTGGTCATTCCTCTACTGTGGGGAGCCACCATAACTGCAGTCCCAATGCCTCTGTGGAGCTTAAATTTACAACTCACGATGTATCTGTGAGTCTATACAGAGGGACACACCACCAAGTCTCCTAATTGTTCCTTAAATGTGCTTTTTTGACCAAGAGGGTCCAAAGTGACAGCATAGGCACAATATCTTTGGGGAGGAAGCAGTAAGTGACCAGAGCTTGCATTAGCCACGATGTACAACTGGGCATACTAGATTTCTTTTGCCCCAACAATACTACTGAGATGCTCTCTCTCTGAGAACTAGAAAAATTAAAAATAGGAGTTGTGTTCCACGCCAAACACTCAGCCCTTCACTTCCTCTGGTTTTGCAACCATTAGATAGATGCAAACTAATAAGGGATGTGGTTGATCAGGCAGCCATGGGAACGGAAGAAGGACAACAGCATTGGCCCATCAGAGAGGAGTCATTTCTTCTGTGGAAGAGCTGCATCACAGAACATTGCTGGGTTTCAGCAGCAACAGCCTCCAGCTGAGATCTTCACTCAGGAGACAGCAGAATTAGGAGCAAACGGAAGAAACTGCTGGCTACAGAAGCCAAGCCATGAAATTCCCTTCCAGCATCCTCTTTCTAGGTTGGTCTCACTCCTTGGAGGGCGGTGGGGTCAGAATGTTTGCAAGAGCAGGCCTGGGAGATTGGAGGCCCGGCTTCCATTTCTGTTGCTCAGATATCTGGACTCTAAATGGATCTTCTCCTTTCCAGGGTGTTGGCTGACCAGGCAGTGGCAGATCTCCAGAGGTGAGTGTCAGTCAGCCGTGAGAATGGTGATAAAAAATAGGGGGTGAGAAGAATGGGAACTACATGCCGTAGACTCCTCCAACCAGGACTACTTTTTTAATGGTAGACTTTATTTGTCTCATATTCAAGGCTTTTTTCCAGTCGGAACTCAGTTCCGGCATCTTTTAGGTGGGGGCAGTTGCCATTATTAGAGAACAAGTGAGGCTTTCATGGTGATTTCCGGTATCTCTTTTTCTAGAAAAGTTGAACTGCCCTTATTTATTTGTCTCTAGACAACCTGTCAAGGAAACCGTCCTCCCAGTTATCCACTTCAGTTTATTTCTCTTGGGTACAAGGGCTATTTAGACACAGGGATCCTTAGTCCTGCCCCTCCCACTGTAAACATCACTAGATAATAAGGGAGAACCTTCTCTTTCATTGCCTCCCGGGTGCATGAATCGCAACTGGCGCTGTCCTGCCTGTCTCCTGTGTGAGCAACTGAGCGACATAAAGGACCTCAGGTTCTGGACTCTTCCACTTCCTCTCCACCCTGTCCTCCTCCAATGTCAACAGGGAAGGGGAAGTTAAAGAGCCCTCCCCCTCTCCCTGCTATCTCAGAAGTGAGTCATTGGTTGAAGTCTATATTGTTGGCCCTACAGCTGTTGCTCAGTTCAAAATATGATTTCTACTTCTTTGGAAAACAGGATGGTGATGAGGAATATGTGAAAATATAGATATATGTCAATTGGAAAATGTTACTGATTAATATACGTACCACACTTTTGTGGATTTTAGTACCCTGATACAAGTCTACTACAAGTCTCCCATCTCACTCCTGTTATCTTTCTTTCCCAGGACAGCTTTATCGGAAGCCTTCCATCTCAGTGATACCAAGTCCTCGGGTCATCCTAGGTGAAAAATTCTATATCCGCTGTGAGAATAAACTTAACTCAGAAGCAACTTTCTACCTTGTCAAGGAAGGAAGTTTAGCAGCTGTGGATTCTAAGACTGCTTCATATTATACAGATTTCCCCCTTTCTAATGCCAAACATGTAGAACCCAATGGTGGGGTCTACAAGTGCAAATATTGCTTTACGGAAAATACATGCTCAGAATTCAGCAATAACGTTTATGTCAACATAACAGGTGAGAATTTTGTTCTATTCTTAGACCTATTCATGTGCAGGGCATCAGTTACATTGAAAGCAAAGCAGTTTCTCGTTTTAATCCCTAACCCTAATGTCCCCACTCCTTCAGGCAACAATCACATGCTACATGTGGTTGTCTGCAGAGAATCCAGTGTGGACACACATGTAAGGACTCTGCGTGATTGTGACTGGTTCCATATGTCTAGGTGGGAACGTATCTGCAGACAACCCCATGGAGCACATGGGTGTTGCATAAAGACAGGAGGGGGCCATCCTGTGTCGCCATTTGAGGCAAAATGGGAATGTGCCACTCCTTGCATGCCCCCCACTGTGTCCCCCCACTTCCATTCCTGCCAGAATGCACCCTCCCTTCTTGCCAAATGCGACAAGAGTCAGGCCATTGCACATGGCATTGCCACTCATATTCTCTGTCCCAGGTGAGCAGATATTCCAAGAGAAGGAGAAAGGTTTCCTATTTTTTAGAGTGATACAGTTGCAGATGTTCCACCTTCCGCATATCAGCTCTCTCTCTTTCGCAGGGAAGCTTTATCGAAAGCCTTCCATCTCTGTGAGTCCCAGTCCTCTCGTCATCCCAGGGACACAATTCTTCATCCACTGTAGAAATGAATACAGTGAACAAGCAACTTTCTATTTCTCCAAGGAAGGGACTCCGGGGCATTTGTTTTCTAGGACTGACTCATTTAGTACTGTATTTCGCATTCCTAATGCCAAGGAAACAGATGGAGGGATCTACTGGTGTTCATATTGCTTCATTCAAGACCAAGTTAAAAAATGCTCAGATTCCAGTGACAGAGTTCACGTCAACATAACAGGTGATGGCTCAGCTCCGTCTTGGTGTGCCAGTTTCACAAATGATACTAAAGTGCAGGTCGAATTTATTGCATCTTCAACCAGAAGGAAAAGATGCATCTTCTCTCTCATTCTCTTTCTATATTACATTCCTAGAAGATTGTAGTTCTGCCTTCTGCTGAATATTGGAGTTGCACCAGCCCTTAAACATCCCTCTTCTTCTCTTTCCCATTCAGAACAATTCTATCCCAAACCTTCCATCTCAGTCAGTTCACATGAAATAATTGCCCTGGGGGGGAATGCAACCATCCGCTGTAAGAGTGAAGAGAACCCAATAGCAGAAATCACTCTGCTGAGAGAAGATTCTTGGGGTAACCGTGAGATCAAGAAGATGGAACCAGGCAGTATTTTATTTCCCATTCTCAATGCTAAACGAACTGATGGAGGGATCTACTTTTGTACCTATTGCTTCCAATCAGACTTGGACTTCAATCAGCGATGTTCAAACTACAGTGACAGAGTATACATCAACATCACAGGTGAGATTCTGTCTTGGGTCGCATCCACACCAAAGACTCTTGTACCACTTTAGCAGTCATGGCTTCCTCCATGTAGTTTGGGAACTGTAGTTTAATTGAAAGAAATTCCTTCCAGTAGCACCTTAAAGACCAACTAAGTTAGTTCTTGGTATGAGCTTTCGTGTGCAAGCACACTTCTTCAGATACCTCTGTACCTGTGCAAGTTTCTTGGTGAGGTTGATGGACTTCCATTTCATGCGGCTCAATGTGGTGCCTTCCATAGTTCCAGTTACAGATAGGTAGCCGTGTTGGTCTGCCATAGTCAAAATAAAAAAATTCCTTCCAGTAGCACCTTAAAGACCAACTAAGTTAGTTCTTGGTATGAGCTTTCGTATGAGTATCTTGGTATGAACTAACTTGGTAAGTTAGTTCTTGGTATGAGTATCTGAAGAAGTGTGCATGCACACGAAAGCTCATACCAAGAACTAACTTAGTTGGTCTTTAAGGTGCTACTGGAAGGAATTTTTTTATTTTGACTATGGCAGACCAACACGGCTACCTATCTGTAACTTTAATTGAAAGGTTAAAGTCTCTGTCAGAGAGTCCATTGCCAGTGTGATGAAGCAGTTAATGGTTCTGGATGACATTGAACCACACTCTTTGTCAACTAACTTACCTCACATGGTTGTTGTGAGGACAAAATGAGGTAAAGAACCATTCTGCTGGCTTGAGTGTCTTGGGATGTAATTGAAAAACGATTAATTAGCTAATTACACACACACACACACACACACAGAGAGAGAGAGAGAGAGAGATATATATTTTTGGGAATATAAAGGTTTATATACCATTTTAAGTTTTGAAAAGCAGAGGCATTCAGTTGCATAGGCAATAATCCAGGTTAACAGATTTTTGTTAGGGTCGTAATCAGTGCTTTTTTCCGGGGGGGGGGGGCACAGGGGTACACATACCCCTAAACAATTTGTGAATCTAAGTTTGCCCTCGTTGGGGGGCAGTATTTCAATATGAGTAGGAAAATGAGAGTACCCCTAGGCATTTTTAAAGAAAAAAGCACTGGCTGTAAGGCATTATTTTGGAAACTGCAGATTAGGTAGTCTCTGATAAATGAAATTTCTCCCCCTCTGCCTTTGCTTCATTCCATCACCCGAACATGAGGGAGAAATTGTTCAACCTTTTGGCTGATTATATGGCATTGTCGCATATTGGCTCAGGCTTCTGGTGAAGACCTTTGGAAATGGAGGTGTGGAGGTATACAGATGAGATGAAGATCATTTCAAATTATCACGTCCTGCTTACTGGTCGTAATCCAAAGAGACTGCATCCAGAATTGGGGGGGGGGACTGCTGTTGTGTTATTCTGTGGTACTTGTGGTACATAGTTTGCCACAATGATGTGGTAGAGCAGGGAAAGGGAACTTTTGGCCCTCCAGATGTGATTCTGCTGCAACTCCCACCATGCCTGACCATTGGGCATGCTGGCTAAGACACACAGGAACATCTGGATGGCTACATGTCCCCTGTCTCCGTGGTAGACCATCTGCTTTGCATGCAGAAGATTCCAGCTTCAATCATCAGCATCTCTAGGTAGGGCAGGGAGAGATCCATGCTTGCAATGCTGCCACTCAGTGCAGCAGACAACACCAAGATAGATGAACCAATGGTTTGACTCAGTATAAGGCAGATTTCCTTATGCGCTCTGCATTATTAGTTTCCCCAGCTACTGGTTTTGATGGGGCAGGGACAATATTCAGGGAACTAGCATATGGTTCAGCCTCCCTTCCTGCCCTCTAGCTTCAGAGATTGTGGTTCACGTTGCCCATACTTTCAAACATGTCTTTGCACCATTAATGGGTAGAAAGATGGGAGGAGAGAGATGAAGCTGAAATAATTTGGATGATAAAGTATTTGGATGCTACTCTCTTTGCACAGTGTGCCTGCACAGTATATCCAGTATATGTCTATTGAAGGTGATTTTGTGCATAACAAACAGGTCTTTGGATCTGATGCAAATTAGCAGGATGCATTAAATGCACCACAAGCAACATGTCTCAATCCTTTCCTGGCTGTTTTTATCTTTTATTTTTCCTAACACTAGATCCCTGGTTTTCTAAACCTTCCATCACTCTGACACCAACACAGCAGATTTCTACTGGGATGAATGTCAGCATTGAGTGTCAGGGGGCAGAGAGTTATCTGACCTTCTCCTTGTTCAAATCAAACAACCTGATAGCATCACAGGAGGCAGAAGAAAACAGAAATGCAACCAAGTTCTTTTTCTCTGAAGTGAGGTTGGAGGATGGAGGGAGCTACACCTGCCGATATCACCGCATAGGATTCCCCTTTCGTTGGTCAGAGTCAAGTGATCCCATGGAACTGGTTGTGACAGGTAAGGCGCTTCCATAGGTCTTTCTCCCACCTTTCTTCTAACTTTCACTCTCTGTGCATGAGCTCTAGGGATTATGGCTGTCAAAGCCAAATACCACCCTAAGCGACTTTGAGCCACATTACAAGGAATGGAGGAACTGGGTGTTTGGGTTTACATCAGCAACGGGTTACTAGAGGCTAGATCAGAAATGAAGATGATTGCATCCAAGGTGAGGTGCATGGGAGATGGAGGTACATGGAGATAGCAGGAAGCCCATCTCAATATTCACTTACTTGGGGCATATATGGGAATGTGATATGGCTTTCTGCACTTGTTGTTGGGAAACTGCCAGGGAGATATAGTCCATCATGGCCCCAAGCCGGCTGCCGGACGTCCATCGATCTCCCGTAGACAGGCAGATCCAGCAGTTAGCGACACGAAGCCTCAGAGATAGATAGGCTCGCGCACACTCCTCTTTATCAGCAGAAACACAGGCAGAAAGCTTGCACCGCAGAAGAGCATATTTTACAGACTTTATTTAGCGTTGAACAGAACAAAGAAAAACATGACCGTTCTGTGTCAGCGTCTCTGACCAACTGAAATCGAAAGGAATCAGCAAACATAAACATCCTGTGAATAGGACATGCGCAGACTCTGTGACTTACAAAGCCTGCTCCCTTTTAAGGTGGAACGGAAATATCCTAACATCCTCCCCCTTTCCGTGTAACCTGTTGTACCTGTGGTTCACCCAATTGCAACCTTTGTACATAAACCTTATGTTGTTCTCTGTTAACAACCTTAGACAACAGATCAGCAGGAATTTCATTTCCTGGCATGTAGGACACCTGAATCAGTCCTTTCTGAATACACTCTCTTGCACGATGTAGCTTAATCTGCAAGTACTTGGTTCTCTGCTTGCAACTCTCGGAGTTCAGCAAAGCCAAACACGATCTATTGTCTTGATACACTTGTATAGGACATTTCACAGAAACCCCGATGTCCTTAAATAGTTGCATCAACCATTCACAATCCATGAGTGAAAATGACAGAGCATTGAGTTCTGCTTCACAGGAACTTAGGTTCACTGTTGTTTGCTTCCTGCACAACCAGTCAAACAGGCAGTGGTTGTACATGTAGCATACTCCAGAAGTGCTTGTACCATCTGTGGTATCACTTCCAAAACTTGCATCTGCAAAGATTTCAAGACCTCCAGTCTTCTGACTGGTGAACCTCAGCCTGTAGTGCATAGTCCCTTTCAAATAGCAGGCTATGCGCTTCAGAGCTTTCCAATCCTGAATTGTAGGATTGTTGGCATGTCTGCTAAGCAGATTACAGCTTACAGCTAAGTCAGGTCTTGAACATCTGGCAATGAAATTCAGCTTGCCTAGAATGCATCTGTATAGCGTTGTGTCAGAAAACGCTTCAGCAGTACTATCTACCTGGTAACCTGTCACCATCGGTGTGTCTGCTGGGTTTGCATCAACCAAATTCAACCTGGTTAATACATCAGCAATTTTCTGTGTTTGGTGTACCAGAAAATTACCTGCTTGGTCCTTCTCCACCTGCAGAGAAAGATAGTTGGATACCTCACCAAGATCCTTCATGTCAAAGTGCTCTTTCAGCTGAGCTAGGCTGCTTTGGTAAAAAGCCTGATTCTTCCAAAACATCAGAAGATCATCAACAAAACATAAACAATACAGTTTGTTTTGCCCCTCCTCCTTGACAAACACACATGGATCAGCTTTGCCCTGGTGAAAACCTAGAGAAAGCAATGTCTCAGTGAGTTTTGTGTTCCAACACCTGGCACTCTGCTTGAGACCATATAAGGATTTCCGCAGTTTACAGACCATTCCCTTCTGTATCTCCATCCCATCAGGTGGAAGCATGAACAGCTCCTCCCCCAAAATCCCGTACAAAAAAGCTGTATTAATGTCATGATGGGAAACATGCAGTTTCTCCTCCGCAGCAATCTTGAGCATCAGCCGAATGCTCTCATATTTGACTGTGGGTGAGTAGGTCTCGTGGTAATCCTGTCCTGGTACCTGTGAAAAACCTCTGGCAACCAATCTGGCTTTGTGTCTGACAACCTTGCCATTCTGGTCTGTCTTGGCCTTGAAGACCCATTTGCTGCCAACCAGTCTCATTTCTGGGACTACCGGTACCAGTTACCAAGTTTGGTTCCTGTTCAAGGAATCAACTTCAGCCTTCATGGCATTTAGCCAAGGCTCAGCATCTTTAGAGGTTAACTCCTGAACCTCTTTGAAGCTTGAAGGTTCCCACACCTTCTCTGAGCTACTAAGAACAGCAGTTGCTGTCTTAGCAAACTCATCAGCATACCTCTTTGGAGGTCTGCCTTTGGTCGCCCTTTCAGACCTACGTACTAGACGCAAGTCTTCTGGACTCATCTCCTCTTTCTTAGGAGAAAAATGACCAATGGTGAACAGTGGTTCCTCCAGTTCATTGTCAGACGCATCAGATGGTCTGACTGAGGCCTTTGCGCTCTGGTAGTCTGCTGTGTCATCACTGTCACTGACACCAGCAGCAGCGCCGCCCACTGAACTGGAATCCGAACTCTGATCATCATCATCATCATCATCATCATCATCATCCTCAGCAGCTTCCTCAGCTTTTGCTGCTTGCTTGACATCACCTTCATCTTCCTCTGGGTAACTCTGGAAAATTCCCACATTTTCCCCCCACTTAGGATTGTACTCAACACTCCTTGTGAACTTAATGGACTTAGAGTTAGCCACTGGACACTGCACAATAAGCATTAGAAGCATTCTAACTGTCACCTGGTTTTACAGACATATTTGCAGTCATCCTGTGGGCAAGCATTGCGGCTGGACTTTCCCTTCTGATTCTCTTCCTGCTGGTACTTGCCTTTATATTGTACAGAAAAGGCAGAAAGGGTAAGTGGACCTCTGAATGGACTGCTTTACAATGGCTGAGATTAAAGCATGCAAAACTGTTTTTCTAGTGGTATAGGTTTTCAGTGAGCTGAACAGCAAGTTATCTTTTCGCATCTCTAGCAGAAGAAAAATTTTCTGTGTGTGTTATTTGGATGACAACTCCAGCATGGCCAACAGTCAGAGCTGATAGGACTTGTAGTCTAAAACATCTGGGGGGGGCACCAGGTTAGGGAAGGCTGGTCTTAAGAGTTAGGGTACATGGGGAGGGAGCAGAACCCACAATGCTGCTCTGAAACAGATTGGGACAAGAATCTCATACTCTCTTTCTGATCTGCAGGTTCCACAGCCCACGAAAGAAGCCAACCACCGAACATAGTAAGCTTTCTTGGCAACAAAAACTTCCCTGTAAACAAAAACCTTTATGACTGTGGACATCCTGCCAACCTCCTACACTCCAGACCCTTCAATCTAAGAAGGAAAAAAGAACATCTCTGCCAGTGTGGTGTAGTGGTTAGGCGTGGTGGACTCGTAATCTGGGGAACCGGGTTTGCATCACCGCTCCTTCACATGCAGCTGCTGGGTGACCTTGGGCTAGTCACACTTCTCTGAAGTCTCTCAGCCCCACTCACCTCACAGAATGTTTGTTGTGGGGGAAGAAGGGAAAGGAGAATGCTAGCTGCTTTAAGGCTCCTTTGGGTAGTGATAAAGTGGGATATAAAATCCAAACTCTTCTTCGTCTTCTAACCAATTTGGTGGAGAAAACAGGCCATAGAGACAGAAAAAGATATGGTCTGTGAAACACTTCAGGTGTCAGACCGAAAGCCGCCATTGGCAATTATAACCTCCGGATCCCAAAAGGGGTGTGGTTTTATTCATACATCTCTATGTGAAAGTCCTAGGGCACTGTCAGGATTCAGTGACAGTGTATAAAGCAGCTCAGTTTTATACCAGAAGTTTCTGGAGAGGGCAGCTGCATTCCAAATGTACCCCTTTAGCCTTAGGGTTGCAGAGTTATGTCAAAAAAAAGGAAGTGTGATCCTGTCCGGCAACATTCTATTTATTTTTTAGCAGTAGGCTCATTTGACTGTGGGTGTGTAAGCATGTGCAGAGTGCCAAGTAACACTCATCCTCTTGAGAGCTGAGTGGCAGTCCCAGGTGCAGTGGCGGAGCTTGCCACTCCTGCACCCAGAGTGGCGGGGCAGGGCGATCCTCCCACAGGGCGGGACAATCCTCGGGGGGGGGGGTCCATTCACGGAGCAGCAGCGCAATCCTCCCAGGGGGGATTTTGTCACCCCCCTCTGGAATGGCACCTGGGGCAAAGTGCCCCCACCACACACCCCTTCTGATGCCCCTGCCCAGATGCCATTTGCTCCTCTCTGGAAGTTGCTGTTCAAATTCCTGTCATTTACACATTCTTATTCATCATTCCCATTGTCCCTCTAGAACAGGGGTAGGCAACCTAAGGCCTGGGGGCTGGATGCAGCCCAATCGCCTTCTCAATCCGGCCCGCGGGCGATCCGGGAATCAGCGTGTTTTTACATGAGTAGAATGTGTGCTTTTATTTAAAATGCATCTCTATTTGTGGGGCATAGGAATTCGTTCATCCCCCCCCAAAAAAAATAGTCCGGCCCCCTGCTGAAAAAGGTTGCAGACCCCTACGCTAGAAGATGTAGTGGCAGAGACTGCATGATAAATATCTCCCTCTCCCCCCCCCAGCCCCTGGAATCCGACAGCAGAGAAGACCCTGATGGAGTTTCTTACGCTGCCCTGAACCACGGGGCCCTGAAATCCAAACAGGTACCCGATGCTGACAGGATCCCTGAAAGCTGTACTTACGCAACATTGGCCCAAGGCAGACCAAAGTAGGACTGACAAGCAGGACCTCTTAGGATGTAGAGACTTCTGGGACCTCGGCTGATCCTTGGTTTGCAGGGACATTTCTACCAGGACAATGCTTCCTAGTAGAGCCTTCTTCACCGAGAGAACCTGCTGCTCCCACCAAAGAGCTGGACACTCAAAATATGTATGTACTCTTCTTCTTTGACCACTGACTACCTCCTTTCTGTAGAGTTCTTCCTTAGGCTCCTGGATCACTAAGGCGGTTTGCCCCTGCGGTTGAGAACATCGCCTAATCCAGGGCTGAGAATCTTCAGCACTACATTTTATCATATGTGGCGGACGTCTAAGCCAATAAAAGTTTTCTGGGAGATGATATATAATGAAATAGAAAAAAATGTTTAAAATAACTTCTGCTTTAAAAAAACCCCAGAAGCTTTTCTATTAGGAATTATAGGTACCGACATTTCAAAAGATCAGAAAAGACTTTTTATGTACGGGACAACAGTCGCTCGGATGCTATTTGCCCAGAGATGGAAAGAAGACAAAGTCCCTGGAAAGCTGACTGGAAAGCTCAGGAACCAAGAGGACAAAAACTTCAAAAAAAGAATGGAGTGGGGGAAATTATAGTTTATGTAGGAGACCACTGTAAAATGATGGCTACATTAGCAGGATTTTAATCTCACTTGTAATGTAACAGATACCTTGGATAACATAGATTGATACAAATGATAGATTATGCAATAATATGCAGATTTTCATGTTGATATTATCACCCATGGAGGGGGTGGGGTGAAGCCGTGAGATTCAGAGTAATCTCTATATATGAATATGTATTTGGATTGTTATACCTTGGTTTACAACCATAATCCGTTCCGGTTGTAACCGGTTGTAACCCAAGGCGCGCTTTCGCTAATGGGGCCTCTCCCCCCAAAAAAGGGTTGTAATCCCCCCCCAAAATGGGTTGTAATCCAAAAAAGGGGCACACACTTCCGAGTTTGATGTGCTTGTAATCCAAAATGGTTGCAAACTAAGGTACCATTGTAATTCTATATTTGTAAACTAAAATAAAAAATATTTCAAAAAAGATAATCTTCAACTCTGTGGATTGAATACTCTGTACTCAGATTCCCAAATGCATGTTTACACTGCTAGCCTTTAAAAAAATGTCTTTTTATTGAAACCTGGGCATCTATGCTTAGGTCTGAGCCAGGAGCACACTCAAATTGCAAACCTGCGTCTTCAGGGGGAGTGTTACCCCATCCAGCACAAACCGAATCCCTATTCCCTGTCCTGCCTTCTGACTGACTGTCAGGGGCTGGACTGGGGAGGAGTGGGGGGGGCTGCTCCCCCTTCTCCTGAACCTTCCCGAAACCAGGAGGACAGTGTCGATTTAGAGCAGTCGTTTGCAGAAGGGCATAGTCCACAGTCTGCAGAGGGCAGAAGCTGGGAAATCCTAGAAGAGGAACAGCAGGAAGAAAGGGAAGCCGTGGGAGAGAGGCAGCCGACAGACTCATTGTCTTTGGAAAGCATTTCTGAGCCCCCCTCGCCCAGGACTAGGCGTGCTGCGAGAGTAGCTGAACAGAGAGCTGAGAGACAGAAAGCCCAGACCAACCGGCATGAGGATGACGTAGTATGAGAGAGACGAAGGGGGTGTTACGATATAGAAGCAATGCGGCCGCGAGCTGCTAGCTTGAAAGCAAAACATGAATGGGAATGTTGGGACTGTTCCGTGGGAAACAGAGGGACAGTCTATTCACAGTGCGAAGCACCGGAATTAGCTCAGAGTGTAATATGAGCTGTACAGGAAGTACAGGAGGAGTTTGTCTCTCGGCTGCTGGAGTTTGAAGAGAGCAGACGTGTTTTCTGTAACGCTGCAAAGGCAGAAATAAAGGCATGTAAATACGTTTCTGTCTATCTCTTTCCCCTGCCCACGGGGGGGGGGCAGGAAAGAGTGGTGTGTTCTTCTCACGCTGAGGAGGATCGCCGATCGCGACCTAGCCTGTATCCTGCCGGGAAATGCAGACAGGGAGGTCAACCGTAGATCAAGCCAGGTGCCTGGAGAATGGCCAGTTTCTCCTGATAAAGGCTTGATTCCAACAGGGGGTGGGACTTTACTTGGAGCGACACCATTTCTAGAGAGAGAGACACATCCCTTTGTCTCTCGCTGTGATTGTTGAATAAACTAATTGGTCAGAACTCTTCTTTTCTTTTATCTGCTTCTTTGCGGCCACCATGGGATTCACTGAAGCCTTGACACTGACCAAGAGCACCTCAGTCTTGCCTGGACTAAGTTTCAATTTGTTGTTGTTGTTTTTTATATAGATTTTTATTGATTTTACAAAGTTTTTTTAAACACAATACAAACATATAAAAAGACAAACAAACACACATAACTTCATAACCTTAATCTCATAAACCTTGTTTCTCGGACTCCCCCATACCTCCCCTTTCTGCATCCCAATGTCCAAATTTTTTCAGCAACTTCTAGTGATTCTGTCAGAAATATGTCTTACTAGTCTTTCCTCCAGTCTATTCTTATATCGCTGAAACCCTTTCATTCTCAAAACCTTGACATTTTAACATTCATCAAGTTTATAATAGTCCTTAAGATAGATTTTAAATTTCTTCCAGTCTTCTTCCGTCGTCTCCTTCCCCTGGTCACGGATTCTGCCAGTCATCTCAGCCAATGTCATGTAGTCCATCACTTTCATCTGCCACTCCTCCAGAGTGGGTAGCTCCTGTGTCTTCCAATACTTTGCGATGAGAATTCTTGCTGCTGTTGTAGCGTACATAAAGAAAGTTCTATCTTTCTTTAACACCAATTGGCCGACAATGCCCAAGAGGAAGGCCTCCGGTTTTTTAGGAAAGGTACATTTAAGTACCTTTTTCATTTCATTATATATCATTTCCCAGAAGGCCTTGATCTTTGGGCACGTCCACCAAAGGTGATAAAAGGTACCTTCAGATTCTTTACATTTCCAACATTTATTGTCAGGCAGATGATAAATCTTTGCTAGCTTGACTGGGGTCATGTACCACCTATAGATCTTTTTCATAATGTTTTCCTTTAAGGCATTACATGCTGTAAATTTTATCCTGGTGTTCCACAACCATTCCCAGTCAGCAAACATGATGTTATGACCAATGTCCTGTGCCCACTTAATCATAACTGATTTAACTGTTTCATCTTGTGTATTCCACTTCAGCAGCAAGTTATACATTCTCGATAAAATTTTGGTATTGGGTTCTAACAATTCAGTTTCTAATTTTGATTTCTCCACTTGGAAGCCGATTTTCCTATCTTGTTTATACATCTCCATTATTTGATAATAATGGAGCCAGTCTCGTACTTTGGGTTTCAGTTTCTCATGACTCTTTAACTTCAATTTATCTCCTTCTTGTTCCAAAATTTCCCAATACTTTGGCCATTCGGCCTCCATATTGAGTTTTTTAAATGCCTTAGCCTCCAAGGGTGACAACCATCTAGGGGTTTTATTTTCCAACAAATCTTTGTATCTTGTCCAAACATTAAACAATGCTTTTCTAGCAATATGATTTTTAAAGGCCCTATGCACTTTTATTTTATCATACCATAAATATGCATGCCAACCAAATGTATTATTAAAACCTTCCAAATCCAAAATGTCTGTATTCTCGAGGAGCATCCACTCTTTCAGCCAGCAAAACGCTGCTGCTTCATAATACAATTTTAGGTCCGGCAGGGCAAATCCCCCTCTTTCTTTAACATCTGTCAGTATTTTGAATTTAATTCTGGGCTTTTTGCCCTGCCAGACAAACTTCGAGATGTCTTTCTGCCACCTCTTGAAACAATCCATCTTGTCAAGAATTTGCAAAGTTTGAAACAAAAATAACATTCTAGGCAATACATTCATCTTAATAACTGCAATTCGGCCTAGCATTGACAATTTCAACCTTGACCATATCTCTAAATCTTTTTTGATTTCTAACCAACATTTTTCATAATTATCTTTATACAAATTCAAGTTCTTAGATGTCAAATAGACCCCTAAGTATTTCACCTTCTTAACCACTGTCAAACCTGTTTCATTCTGGAATTTCTCCCTCTCCATAACTGTTAGGTTTTTTTCCAACACTTTAGTCTTTTGTTTGTTCAATTTAAATCCAGCCACCTGGCCAAATTCTTGAATTATTTCCAACACCCTTTTTGTACTAGCATCTGGCTCTTGTAAAGTAAGTACCAACTAAGTTTCAATTTGTTGGCCCTCATCCAGTCCTTTAGTGATGACAGACCGAGTTGAGAACTAAGAAAGCTGCTTTGGACTTGGGCAGAAAGGAGAACTAGAGCTGGGTGTCGTCAGGCTGCTGGGGACAACAATCCCCCAAAGTCCAGGTGACCTCTCCCAGTAGCTTCATGATAACATTTCTTTCCGTGCAAAAAAGAACAATAGTGAATGTTGCATTTAGTTGCTGTTTAAAATTCACAATAGGAAGCAGATTAAGACTGAAATCTTAACCCCACTTACCTGGGAGTAGGCCTCACTGAATGAATTAGGATTTATTTCTTAGGCTAGCATAACGTAGTTAGGAGTGCAGGCCTAATGGATATAGGATGCCTTTGGCACTTCAGGAAAAAAAGGGGGGAGTACCAGTATATATCAATGAATATCTAAACAATTTATATTGCAGAGCCATTCATGTATCTATTCACACATATATGTGTGCCCTTATTTTTTAAAAAAGTATGTTATAAAGAACAAAGATTGAAACCTTTCAGTGCAAGAGTCAGTGCCACAGTGGCGGTTGAATGTACAGATGGAAGGAAATCCACTTGGTTGTTCATTTGGAACAGATTCCCAGGATCCAATCCAGAGTAGCAATATTTGGCACAATGCTTCTTGGTCGCTGCCTCTGGCTGACTCATGAGTCGGATGACAGATGATGCCACTACTTCTTCCCTTTTAGTCTGGATTTTTTTCAAACTCTGCTTGTGACAGCTTTTTTATTTTTTGCCCTGTTCTTGCCCTCTTGGTTTCCACATGAGCCAGCTCACTTCACTTGGATAGTTGTAGAGATAACATACTGAGCTACAAGGGCAATTTTGCCTGATTTTCCCCCACACCGCACTGCACTTCACAAGCAGGAGGCAATGTGAAAGACTACGAGGGAGTCAATTTAGATTTCACAAGGAAGAAGGCTGAGCTGCCGTATGTCCTCTTTTCCCCAGACATGTCCTCTTTTTAGAAGACATTTTAGAAGACATCTGAAGGCAGCCCTGTTTAGGGAAGCTTTTAATGTTTGATGTATTACAGTATTTTAATATTTTTTGGAAGCCGCCCAGAGTATAAATAAATTATTATTATTATTATTATTATTATTATTATTATTATTACTATTATTATTTTATTTTCATGTGTATGTAAAATGAGGGTCATCATAGCGATCCATAGTCGGCAAATGTCTTCTCCTTTGTGCTCTTCAAAATATGGCAGCCCTATGACACTCCCCCCCCACATGTTTGAAATTTCCACCCCTACATCCCCCCCCAGCTTCCCTGACCCCAACCAGTTCTGTACTCTACTGAGAACTGTGCCTCTGAAGAACACACTTCCAAGAAACTGCAGACAAGAATCAGGGGATGGTTGGGTAGAGGCTGTTTGTTTCATGGGAAGATGGGACTTGGGCTACCTTATGTAGGGATGTCTATAGATGCTGGCAGAGGATAGGTTTATTAGATATTATCCTTCTTTTCTCATGTTTGTGAGTTCAACAGGGCACATCCATTTGCAGCTTAAAAGGGAAGCTTAGCTAGGCTAGTTTTAGCCTTTTTGTTTAAGTAATGCAGGTTGCTTCTGGATTCTCCGGCTATTTCCCCCTTTACTCTCCCTTAAAACAATAATCACACAAACAGTTTTACAAAGGTAAGAGCAACATTTACTCACTCAGAATATCTGTTGCAGAATAAGAGATACAGGAGGCGGGCTTAAAATGGTAATTCAGTTAGACACATTTTAGTCTAGCTTAAGATGGAGTTTGAGCTACAGCTCAGACTTAGCAGTTCTCATTTCTGGCTTGGAGATGAGATGAAGAGTAAGAGTGAAGAGAGTGAAAAGAGAAGGTGCCCAGGTAAGGGGAATATATAGGGCCACACCCTCTCCCTCTCAGGGCACAGTGGGATCGCCACTCAGAAGGTCCTCTCTAGCAAACTTACAGGAAAACTCTGTGAGCTTCAGCTCCCATCATGTACCCATCTATCAAACATGAATCGTTGGTTTGACTCAGTGGCGTAGCGTGGGGGGGCGGTGGGGGGTTAGGGTTAGGGTTAGGGGGCGCAAATCCACGGGTTAGGGGGCGCAAATCCACGGGTTAGGGGGCGCAAATTACTTGCCTTGCCCCAGGTGCTGACAACCCACGCTACGCCACTGGTTTGACTGCATTGTAAATATCCCACACCTAAAAGCTGAACAGAGGCAAGTTGTCAAGTCCCAATGGGCTGCTCGGGACTTGAATTTGCAATGATGTGTGACTGGCAGTACTAGATTCTGCTGAGAATCCCTCTGTCCAGTGACATAGCATGGGTTGCTTGCGCCCGGAGCTGTACAGAGGGGGGTGGATGGGAGAGAAATGGACAGAGGACACATGCACATTCAACTGCTTAACGCCATCCATGTCACCTGGGAGATTGCAGCTGCAGAGATAAGAAAAGACTTTTTCCATTGTCTGGAGTGGTCACTTCCTGGTTTGGATGCAGAAGCTATTTTCAATAGAGCCCAGCGACAGAAATGCACAACGGCATCGAGGCAGCACTGGGTGTTGAAATTTTGTGCCCCATACAATTTTGTGCCTGGGGCAATCACCCCTCTGCCCCTCCCCCCATGCTACACCGCTGCCTTTGTCTCAGGACAACAGCTATAAAAAAGCGCAGGGCATACAATCTATGCTAAACTGTTTTTTCCAAAGAATGCAGAAGTTTCATCTGTTCACTTCCGTTCCTTCCATTGTGCAACCCACAGTTGTGACATAATAGGAGATGTGGTTAATCAGGCAGTCTAGGGAGGGGACTATGATCAGAATATCAAATCAGAGAGAAGCGATTTGTGCTGAGGATCTGCTGTGTAACAGAACGTTGCCAGATTTCAGCAGCAACAGCTGCCAACCAAGACCGTCGTTCAGGACACAGCAAAGATAGGAGCAAACAGGACGCCCTGCTAGAAGCAGAACCCACGCCATGAGGCTGTCTTCCAGCATCCTTTTTCTTGGTTAGTATCCCACCTTGCAGGATGGTGGGGGCACAGCAAGTGGCCAAGGCGCTGTGGGGAGCTCAGAGGCCCAGCTTCAGATCCTTTTGCTCAGATGTCTCGCCTCTAACACAATCCTCTCCTTTCCAGGGTGTTGGCTGACCAGGCAGTGGCAAATGGCTAGAGGTGAGTTTGGGTCAATGAAATAATCCCAAGAGTGGGAGAGAGGCATAGGGCAGAATGGGAGTTCAATGCCAGGGCCTCCCACAATCAAACTTGCTTTTCTCACTACTGCTGGAGTTCCCACACTTTCCCTGTAGTGTGCAAGGATGACAGGTGCAAGTGCCCCACTCTCCTTTGTCTTTAGACAACCTGTGTCCATCTCAGCTGACCATGTGTCACTCTGAAGTTTCTGTAGGAATGTTAAGGAAGGTAGGAGAGGATAAATTTATTAGATATGCTCCTTTTATATATATATATAATTTTTTATTCACTTTTCACAAATTTTAAACAAATACAAATAACACAAACAAACACAAACACAAAAAACAGGTATAATTTCAAATCCTTATTTTCTTGTAACTTCTTTCTCCGACTTCCCCATACCTCCCCTTTCTGCATTCTATTTTCAATTTTTTCCCCAGCAAATCCTTACTCTAATTTTATTTAATTTACATCCTCTATTTTTCTTTAAATTTAACCCTTACCGCTGTAAACCCCTTAGTTTTTAAAACCAGCGTCATTCTAACATTCAATAATTTTACAATACTTCTTAAGATAGTTTTTGAATTTCTTCCAATCTTCTCCTGCCGCCTCTTTTCCCTGGTCTAGATATGCTCCTTCCTCGCTCATGCTAGTGAGCATAGAGCAGATCACATTCCTTGCAGTAAACAACAACAACAACAATTATTTACTGCAAGGAATGTTGTTGTTGTTGTTGTTGTTGTTGTTGTTGTTGTTGTTGTTGTTGTCCCCAGCCACTCTAGGAGGCTTCCATGAGAATATTAAAGACAGAATAAAACTTCAGACATTAAAAACTTCCCTAAATATGACTGCCTTCAGATGTCTTCTAAAAGTCAGATAGTTGTTTATTTCCTTGACATCTGATGGGAGCGTGTTCCACAGGATGGGCACCACTACTGAGAAAGCCCTCTGCCTAGTGAAGCTTTTTGATGGCTGGTTTCAGCAATTCAGGATGCCCTTTGTACAGACACGCTTCTTCCTGGTCATTTCCCCTTTATTTCCCTCTTAAAACAAATAAGATAAACTTTGGAATAACATTATGTCTAAATTAAGTATTTGAGTATTTGATAAAAATGTTTAAAGTCGGGGACATAATTTTTGAACACTACAAAATAAGAGTTGAAATAAGGTAATAAATTGCTGTTTATAAATTTTATAACTGGAACGCAGGATTGGGAGATGTGAGGAAGTCCAAAAGCTTAAGAAAAGATGGGTGTTGGATATCTGATTTTGTTGTATATTTTTTATTATATGTTAATCTTTTTGCTTTTTTCTGTTTTTCTTTGTTTGTTGCATTTTGGTGTTGGTTTTATATGTGTTTGGTGAATTTAATGTTTAAAATGCTTAATAAATATTTTTTTTTAAAAAAAATTCCCTCTTAAAACAATAACAACACAAAGCCATCTTATTAAAATAATAAACTTTACTCACATTCAGTAGCAATCTGAAGGCAGGCTTTAGCTGCAATTTCTGTTTCATTTGCAGGAAAATGTAGACAAGAGAAGTGAAGTTTCAGACATACAACATGTGGCCTACATGCTTACAGATGAGGCTGCATATGAACAGCAGGATGAAGAGTAGGTCAAAAGAGATCCAAAAGAGAGATTGAAAAGAGGAAGATGGCTGTGTGCCCAGCCCTTTTATTTGGATTCACTTGGGTCACACCTATCTACCTGGTCACACTCAGAGGGAGTGGCTCCCAACAGGTATTGCAGGAAGTCCTCCCTTTTTGGAGCCACCTTCCTCTGTGTGTACATTCTAGGAAACAAGGAATGCTGGACTAGACTGCTCTATGTCTACATCCCACATTTCCAAGGAAGGTACTTGCTACCTTTTGGACTCTGTTCTCTTTTGACTCTTCCTCAAACTACTGCATCTCTGAGTGATGATAAAGCTGCTTTTTAAAACAAAAAACCTTGCTGACCAGAAATTTACACAAACCGATGGATATGGGCTGCGTTGTAGCAGATTCTAAACTCCCCTCCTCCGGTCATGGATCAGATGAAAATTAGTGAGAGTCTTGGAGGATGACTTAATTCATTTTATGCCTGTTGTAGCTGTTGTAATACACTGTGCTGGATGTCGCAAGATTTGTAGGTGTGTGTTTTTTCCTCAGACAGGCCACAGACCCCCCTAAATGAAGCTCATGGGCAGCCAGCTGCTCAGGGACCACAGCTGGATAACCCCTGCTCTGTTGGATAATGTCAAAGCAGAGTCATCCAGCACGGCCGTTTGAATTTTTGTACAAACTCACTCTATTCGATTCTCCAGCTGCAGGTGAAAGCCTCCTATTTGACAGAAGGAGGCTGTTGCAAGTGTTTCACCTTCAAACCAGCTTCTCATTCTCTTTCTTGATCAGGACAATATCCCGAGCCCTCAATTTCAGTGATTCCCAGTCCTAATGTCGCCCTTGGAGGGAATTTCTACATCAGCTGTGGGAGTCATCATTATAAAGCCACCTTTGAGCTCTTCAAGGGAGAACCTGCAATTTATGTGCGATCTGAGAAATCTTCATCTTATACAGTGGATTTTTTCATTTCTGAGGCCAAACTAGAACATGGAGGAATTTATCAATGTAGGTATTGCCTCAATCGCCTATGCTCACATCTAAGTGACAGACTTTACATCAACGTAACAGGTGAGGGCTTGTCTTAGTCTCTGTGTGACAGTTTTACAAATGACGCTAAAATGGGTATTGGGTTTATTCCATCTGCCAATCAAATGGGGGGGGGAGTGCACTGATTGAACTATATAACTGAACTGTAACTGCACTGATCGAAATATGTACCTATCAAAAGGGATTCTTTATCCCTAATTAACTATTAGTATTTTATTCCAGATTAAAATGCATTCTCTGTAACCAAAGTCGTAATGGAATGCAGATTGTATAGCACACTATACAACCCCCTGCTCTGTACTCCATTTGTCACACACCCTGGTCCTAGTCAACTGACAAGGCAATGGATGTTACTATACAACCTGAAGCCTACAATGGAGGGTCCACAGCAATCCTACCCCAATAGGTTCTGCCCCTCTCATAGGGCATCTCTGCTGTGCAGCTTGCCTTTCCCTGACAAGGCTCACATCCCACCTGTGTTCTCTGCCAACTAATCTCCTGAGTAATGGCCTAAAAGCAGCCTATCGATATTCACATTCTGAGTTGCACGTGGTTTTCTATGCTCCCCAATAGCATTTTACAAAGCCAGACTATTGTGTAAGATCAAAGGATTAAGCATCCTTCTTTTTCTCTTTCTCCCCCTGGATAAGCTTCTCCCAAACCTTCCATCTCAGTGAGCCCAGGTGAGGTGATTGCTCTGGAAGGAAATGCCAACATCCACTGTAAGACCAAAGAACAGCAAGAAGTAGAATTTACTCTACACATAGAAAATTCTTCAAATACTTATGAAAGCAAGATGATGGGATCAGGAGAAGTTCTATTTCCCATTATCAATGCCAAAGAATCAGATGGGGGCATCTACCGCTGTCGCTATTGCTTAAAGCTCAAGAACACTCAAGCATGCTCAAATTACAGTGATGAAGTACACATCAAAGTAACGGGTAAGATCCTGTCTTGATAATTGTATGCATCTTTCGCAGATTGCACTAATACAGGTTTGAATTTGCTGCAATTGTAAATGAAATTGGAAAAGTGTGCTGGCTCCACCATTCTTTAGTTTTAAAAGGAGGTATCTCTTCACGTCACAGTTGGGTATCATTTCAACATTTGTAAATGGATTCCCTGACTTCTACAGCATCCTTCCTCTCTGTCTCCTGGCCCCGCACCTCTCCAACTCCCTCTTCTGCCTCTAATTCTGAACTGCCCTCTGCCCCAGACTCTTCCTGCACACTAAACCCTGTCACCTGTGTATGACCCTTCCTCCTCACAGTCAGCTCTTCCTCCCTCTGACCACTCCTCATTGTCCCACCACCAGTCCCCTGGCTCTGAGCCATCTTCCCATGGGGGCTCCCTTGGGGAGTGCTGACGCCTCCCACCTCTCCTCTGCATCCAGACAGTCCACGAGTCTTTATAAAGATATTGAACAACACTGGGCCCTGGACTGGACCCTACAGCACCACACTTCTCAGTGTTTTTTTCCCCCATTGGTGAGCGCTCTTTAGGTTTGTTCAGTCAGCCAGCTACAAATCCACCTGACAGTAGCATCCTCTACCCACATTTTACCAGCACCTCACAATAATATTATGGGGAACTTTGTCCAAAGCCTTACTGGAATCAAGATGTGCTACATTCACAGCACTGGGAGATGGTTACGCAGAGGGTGAATAGAAAGCTCCATGAACTGATAGAAGGGTCTTTCTTGGGAGCTTCTGGGCCCTGCCTGTGTGGGGTTTGGTGAGCATTGGCAGTATTCTAACTCTAGGTGTCCTTTTCATGGTTTTACAGGTGGAAATTCAAAAGCCGGACATTCAATAGCCATGTGGGCAGGCATTGCTGCCGGTGTCTTCCTTTCGGTCCTCTTCCTGCTCATCCTTGCTTTTGTATTGTCCAGGAAAAGGAAAAAGGGTGAGTAAGCTTCTGGATCAGCTGTTCTGCAATGGCTGAGATGAAAGCACGCATAACCGAGGTTGTAAATGCTCACTTTGTGGGAGCTGTACCACTTCAAGTTCCACACGAGAATATTAAAGTCCCAGGTGTCAAGACAGGTTGCAATCTCAGAGAGAGAACGCTCTTCTTTTAAAAACAAAATAGGGTTGAAGTATTTATTTATCTATGCAATATATATGTGATAAATAATAGCACAAAGCCAGCAGCGTGCACACCATGTGCCAGTAGAAATCAATTCATCAGTTAAAATACTCACAAGTTAATACAGTGATCTAACAGAATACAGTGGTACCTTGGTTCTCAGACTTAATCCATTCCGGAAGTCTGTTCCAAAACCAAGGCATGCTTTCCCATAGAGAGTAATTCAAAATGGATTAATCCATTCCAGACTTATAAAAACCATCCCTAAAACAGCAATTTAACATGAATTTTACTGTCTAACGAGACCATTGATCCACAAAATGAGAGCAATAAACAATGTACTGCAGTCACACAATCAATCAATCAATCAATCAATCAATCAATAGCTGAACTGGGTTCCACACGGTCACAAAAAAGAGCCACAAAAATGCAAAATAAATAGCAAAAACAGACAGACCTCAGCGTAACACTCAAAATGTAAGCGTAACACTCAAAATGGAAGTGTGGCACTCAAAACGGAGCTTCCGAAAAAAGTTCGCAAGCTGGAACACTTACTTCCAGGTTTGCAGTGTTTGGGTTCCAAGTTGTTTGAGTATCAAGGCATTTGGGAACCAAGGTACCACTGTAGTTATAAATTCACATGGTGGATATAATTGTTCAAGGGATAGTTGACCATCCATTTCAGCTATGATCCATTCCACATTAGTGGCGCTGCTGCTACTTCCTCGCTTGTGAGTCACACAATGCCGTTACCACCATGGAGTTATTCCACCACTCCCATCTGTTTATTTGAAGATTTTTCAGGCTTCTTTCATGTTTTTGTTGTTTACTTCTTGTGGCGTCCTTTCACTGTTGATTTGCATGTAAACCAGCAGTGCAGCCAATCAGAAGCCACACCTTGGTTTCTGAATGGTGCTGGGAGTTGAATGGACTCCCAGAATGGATTAAGTTTGACAACCAAGATACCACTGTATATGGGCCAGTGGGGACAGAAAAACACCATCCATAACTTTACTCAGAAACCTATTGGGTGAAAAATCTCACAGTGTGTATCTCTGCTCTACAGGTTCCATGGCCAATGAAAGAACTCAGCCGGCAAGCATAGTAAGAAATATTCCAATGAACCAAAACTTTTATGACTGTGAACCTCCTGCCAACACTTTACAGCCCTGACATTCCAACCGGGGGAGGAGGACTCTAATTCAATGCAACAGCCACTACCTTTCCAAGTAACAGGGGATGGCAGGGCTGATTTGATTTGGGGTGGGATAGAGGGCCAAGTACCATCCTCCGCATGGTCTGTGCCCATCTCCAGGTATGCCCATTTTTTGAACTGGCTCTTCCAAATTCCTGGAATTTCTCTGGACCAGGGATGGAGGACCTGTGGCAGATGTTGTTGGACTACATCCCCCATCAGCCATAGCCAGAGGCCATGGATGATGGGAGTTGTAATCCAGTAAGATCTGGAGAGTAGCAGTTTCTCCATTCCTGCTTTGTTTCCATTGTATGTCACTCTAGCAGACCGAATGGCAGGACCGCAGGCTACATCTCCTTCTTTTCCCCTCCATAGCCCTTGCAGTCTGAGCCTGAAGAAGACCCAGATGGAGTTTCCTATGCTGTACTGAGCCACAGCTCATTGAAAACCAAACCAGCACCCGATGCAGATGGGATCCCTGAGTCCTGTACTTATGCAACAGTGGCCCAACGCAGAACCAAGGAGGGCCAATAAGAAGGACATCTTACAATCCAGCGACTTCTGGGACCTTGGCTTATCCCCGAGTGTTATGGACATTTTGCTTATTTCTAGCTTGCACGACATGGGAGACGAGTTTCATAAGGTGGCCTTGTTCACGGAAAGAAACTATTGCTCACAGCTAAGAACTGGGCAGGCCATACATAATGAATTTTAAAAGATGTTTAAAATAGCTATTCCCAAGAGGCCTGAAGCATTCCCCCCCCCCCCAGGGATGATAGGGGCAGAGGTTCCTAAAGAGATGGTTAAGTTGTTTGTGTAAGCTACTACAGCAGCCGGAATCCTGTATGCGCAGAAGTGGAAAGAAGAGTGGGTGTTAAAGTTAATGGACTATGCAGAGATGGCAAAGCTGACAGCAAAAGTAAGAGATCAATAAGATGGGAACTTTGTCGGAGAGTGGAGGTTCTTTTTGGACTATCTGAGAAAAAGCTGCAGCCCAATGAAATCACGAGCAGGATTTGGATAATAGGCAAGGGGAGGTGAATAAATAAATGATTGTAATGTAAGTTATAATACCATAGAAAATAAAAGGCCGGTCAAAATGTAAGAAATTATTATACTGAAAGTGAATGGAATAACGTCAAGTTTTGTGTAAAAAAACTAATAAACATTTATTATTAAAAAAAGAGAATGGGGCAGCTGCTTTTACGGCTGTGTTGGAAGACCACATCCTCTCTGCAGATTCTTCCTTACTGTTGGTAATATGGAAACAGGCCAAAATAGGGGAGGGGACCTCACTTCCGGGGCCTGGGTGTGGCCCTTGGGGCTCTCCATGGGCAAGGATCCTCTGCACCATCTTGAGGGCTTTTGCCTGGCTGGATGGTGTCTTGATGTAACATTGCCTCCTGCTTGCCAGAATCGGGACTAGAGAAGTGGGGTGTTGTTAGGGACCGTGCTGAAGAGGGCTGCACTGAGGAGAAATGGTGAGAGCCTGCCCTTCCCCCTGCTAGTGATCAGGATCCTGACTCTTCCCAGGAGCGGGAGGACAGTATAGATTTGGAACAGTGGTTTGCAGAGGGACATAGTTCAGAAGGCAGAAGCTAGGAAATACCAAATGGGGAACAGCTAGGAGGAGAAGCACTGGGAGAGAGAGAGTTAACAGACTCAGTTTCTCTGGAATGTGTTCATCAGCTCAGCCCAAGGTCAAGAAGAGCAGATAAGGTGGCAGCACAGAAAGCACAGTGGTCACAAGATCTGGTTACAAGACATGGTAGTGACATTGAGGAATAGGGAGGAAGTGGGGGGTATCCTTAATTGGGAGCACCTTCATTCCGAGAAATGGATTCTTTGTTCTCTCCCTGTGATCATTAAAATATCGAACTGGTAAGAGACTCCTTTCTCTTTGTTCTGCTTATCTACTGCCAAAGGGGGGGGTGGTAGAAGCTCCTTCAGGTATACAGGGCCGAAGCCGTAGTCTTTCACTACTTGATTTATTTATTTGGAAAAATTTATGAACTCTGTGAATGTATAACCAATCCCTCAGCAGTTTACATTAAAAAGTATAATTATCAGTGATATACGGATAAAATCAACATATTTATAAAATGAGCATACATAGCTAATTATATGCCTGGATATTCTTGCTGAAATAGAGAAGGTGTTTTTTTTACCTAGTGTCTAAAACAGTGTGACCAGGGTGTCTGCCTAGTGGGCGTATCCGAAAACACATGATCTTAACTATGCTGATTTTGCAGAATATGACTGCAATGTGGAGGGGGGAAAAGGGAAGTGGTTTGCAAGGCACTTCCAGTGCTCCTAAGCTGTGCATGAATTTCATGGGCAAGAACTGTGTTGCAAGAACTGTGTTGCATTTCAGACCCTGCAGACTCCCTCGAAGGTCTTCATTCCGGGGACAGCACACATCTTGGGGGACACAGGACACTGGACCACAGGGCTAGGTGCTCCTTCATCATGAGGCTCTCTTTCAACATCCTCTTTATCGGTTGGTATCTCAAATGAAAGGGTGAAGGGACTGAGGGTTGTGCAACGGCCGGCTGGAAGGAGACCCAGTTGTGGTTCCTGCTGCTCAGCTGTATTGCCGCTAATGCAATCATCTCCTTTCCAGGATTCCTGCTGGCTGGACAGTGGCAGATCTCTGGAGGTGAGTCTCTTTGGGTGATAAATATGAACATGGGGCCAGGGGGAGATGGATGGGGTCAGAATGGGAGCAAACTGCAATGATTTTCCCCACAACCAAATCTGATTTCCTGACATCTGCATGATAACCACAGAGGCCTACCAAATGTTCTCTGATCTATACAAATGTTAAAGGTACAGGAACATCCAATCCAAATTGATTTCGAGGTTAACTTGAAGGAATAAAGCCCTCAGTGGCTTGAGACTCGGGACCTGAAGGAATGCTTCCTGCCATGCTGACGTATCTGAGGACTGAGGACTGAGATTAGAAGGGATGCGGAGGATGATATATTCCTGCCATTTTAAAAGCATTGTGTTATATAGACTGCTGGTGCTTGTTTCTTGTTTTCTGCAAGTCACCCTGGAGAGAGACATATAAATCTCCCAGTACATTTCTGAGTACAATTCAAAGTGTTGATGTTGACCTAAAAATCCCTAAATGGCCTCAGCCCAGTATACCTGAAGGAGCGTCTCCACCCCCATCGTTCAGCCCAGACACTGAGGTCCAGCTCCAAGGGCCTTCTGGCAGTTCCCTCCCTGTGAGAAGTGGGGTTACAGGGAACCAGGCAGAGTGGTGCCCGCCCTGTGGAATGCCCTCCCTTCAGATGTCAAGGAAATAAACAACTATCTGACTTTTAGAAGACATTTGAAGGCAGCCCTGTTTAGGGAAGTTTTTAATGTTTGATGTTTTATTGTGCTTTTAATTTTGTTGGGAGTCGCCCAGAGTGGCTGGGGGAATCCAGTTAGATGGGTGGAGTATTATTATTATTATTATTATTATTATTATTATTATTAATCAATTTATTCAACAAAAATTGGTGTTCTGTGGACCTTGACCCTCTGATCAAAGCTTTGGTATCCCCAGAGCATGCAAATGTCTCCCACCTTTGCAGATGTTCCACCTTCCAAATCTCAGCCTTATTCTCCTTCTTTGATCTAGGACAATATAACTCAAAACCTTCCATCTCAAAGGGCCCCATAAATGTCAACCTGGGGGGAGATATCAACTTGGAGTGCAAAAGTGGCTACCATCAATCTGCACAACACTTTCTGTACAAAGGAGATTCAGACCATTCTGCTTCAGCAACTCAGAAGACAGAAAAGGATGCAATTGTATTTCACATTTCCAATGCCAAAGAATCAGATGGCGGAATCTACCGATGTAAATATTGCCACAACGAAAACACGTGCTCAAATTTCAGTGATGGTGTCCAAGTCAACATAAAAGGTGAGAGCCGGGCTGAATCCTGATACGCTGTTTTCCCAAATGACACATAAAATGAGACTTTATATCTCCCACATGTATAAATCATGGCGGGGGGACTGCTTTTACTAAACCAACCTTTGCCAACCTGGTGCCCTCCATGTGTTTTGGTCTACAACTCTGGGCAATTTATCTGGAATATATTTGTATTTTGAGGAGATAGTGCTCTAACATGGTTTCCTTTCCTGCCTCTGTTTGCTTCCCCCTCTCTTTGATGGCTGAAGAACAGCCTTTAATTTCCTAGTCCTAATCTGTTGGAAGGAAGTGATATTGCTGGGTACCTTCTTTGGATGTTGGACATTGCTTTAAGAAAGTGAGGCATTGGGAGAGGTGGCTAATGAATAATCTGTACATTGCTAGTAGCACGTAGGCGGTCAGGCAAACCACACAGATTAGCTATCTATAAATCGGATAAATGGACATAAATCTGACATCAGGAATCACAAGACAGAGAAACCAGAAGGACATTCTATACAAGATCTCAAAGTAGCTGTCTTATTACAAAAGAATTTCAGAAATAGACTGGAAAGAGAAGTTGCTGAATTGCAACTTATTACCAAACTTAAAACCATGGAGAGACCTGGTCTGAAAAGAGACATTGGATTTTTATCTCATTACACTGGTACCTTGGGTTACATACGCTTCAGGTTACATACGCTTCAGGTTACAGACTCCGCTAACCCAGAAATAGTACCTCAGGTTAAGAACTTTGCTTCAGGATGAGAACAGAAATCGCATGGCGGCAGCAGGAGGCCCCATTAGCTAAAGTGGTACCTCAGGTTAAGAACAGTTTCAGGTTAAGAACAGACCTCCGGAACGAATTAAGTTCTTAACCCAAGGTACCACTGTATACATGATAAAGCTATTTTTAGCCATCCCACCCCTTGCTTTTTTCTGTAAGACCAATTGCAGTCATTAACAGTCATCAACAGGTTTACCACACCTATCAGCCAATCACCCATTCCCACCACCCTTCTGAGTAATACCCCTCCCCACCCTCTCACTATATATAAGGGTCTGGTGACTTCTGTTTCAGTGTATCTGAAGAAGAGTGCATGCACACGAAAGCTCATACCAATAACAAACTTAGTTGGTCTCTAAGGTGCTGCTGGAATGAATTTTTAAAATTTTGTTTCAACTGTGGGCATACTGTTTAGGGAGAAGCTCGTGCACGGACTGAAGGCCATGTGGCCCCGCAACCTGAGGCTACCTGGGGGGGGGGTCACTTCACCACTACTTTAGGGTAGCAGATCGAAGTGCTTGCTTGGTATGTATATACTGCTTGCTGTTTAGAATAAAATCTTTAATCTTCTCACTCACTTGTGTTTGTCTTGCCTCTGAATCTCATTTAAAAGAACCACCTTGCATTTGGCAAGACAAACTCCCATCAGCCTTAGTCAGCAGAGCCTGCTTGGAGTTGTAGTCCAAAACATCTGCAGGGCACCAGGTTGGCAAAGGCTGGACTAAACTATACAGTGGACTTTAGGGTCTCTCTCCTGTTTGCATCCTACATACATGTCTTGGCAATTTTCAAGAATGAAGGCAATTCTCAGTGGCTGGTTTTAGCAGGAGCAGTCTTGCACACATGCCTTTGAAAAAGTGTTACAAAGCATTCTAAAAAAAAAAAAAGGCATTTACAGTTAAACACAATTATTTCATCTCAAGATTTCCCTGTAACAGTGCTCTTCAGCCACCAAATGTTTTCGAATTCCTCCTGAAAGTTCATGATTTTGGGGACAGGGTGTTGGGTGGATTTGGAGGGCAGGATGTGATACTATCTTATTAATTACCGGTATCTGTCCTCTTGCTCACTTGTGTGAGTTGAACATCTAGTTAAAGGTAAAGGTAAAGGGACCCCTGACCATTAGGTCCATTAGGTCCTGGTGAACCAGAGCAGCACACGGAAACGCCGTTTACCTTCCCGCCGGAGCGGTACCTATTTATCTACTTGCACTTCGACATGCTTTCAAACTGCTAGGTGGGCAGGAGCAGGGACCGAGCAACAGGAGCTCACCCCGTTGCAGGGATTCGAACTGCTGACCTTTTGATCAGCAAGTCCTAGGCTCTGTGGTTTAACCCACAGCACCACCCATGTCCCAACGAACATCTAGTTAGCAGAGTTTAAATTTACCTTTTGCAGCATGAACTGTGGAAACTTCTGGGACAC